TTCCCAGTCTTGCCCCATAAAGTCCTCTTTTAGCCTCCTTACAGCATGTTCGTTCAACCCTGGTATTGTTTTGACTAAGTATAGGTATCTTCAGTGTAACATTTTGTTGACAACAGTTAAACATATCTCTACTCATGACTTTACATAATTGGTGTCTCTTTTTTTTCTATCCAGGGGAGATAGAAGGTTTGAAAAGCCAGGTCGAAAAGACCCTGGTGGGTGTGATATTTTGTTGCTCAAATAATCAGTATATGATGTACTCGTTGGCAAATGCACTGACTTGTCTTCTTGTTGCTCTCTGGCTTGTGGACCTGGCAGATGTTGCTCCTGGGCATTTTCAGTTGAATCACAGTAAGTTTGACAAGTTTAATGGTTGACTTCAAGAAAGTTTACATATTTGAAGGCATATATGACACAAATGAAAGCCCTTGTTTCAGTTGATTAACTGCATTATATGAGTTTGACATATGTTTACATAATGTATACAAAGTACATACTCTCTGTGACACTTGGAAGTTCTCCTCTTGGGATCAGAGTTTCTTGTCTTAGCTGACTGCTTTAAATGTCAACACCATTGTAATGATGGCGGGACTTTTAACTGTCCCCCTCGCTCTTTTCAGTCCGAGGAAACTACGAGGATTGTGGGACAGGCCTTCCAAGGAAGCACGACTTTACACGTTCAGAGAGCGAGAACTGGCGTACTTCTCGTGATGATCAGAACGGTGAGGATGATGAGGGGGGCTGGCGCCTGGCAGGTTCTCGAAGGGACAGTGACCGTTGGTGTCCCCTGAGCCCAGGTGGGCACTGCACTGACAACATTACCAATACATTTATCTTTGATAAATGTATTTGTGGTATAATGCCTTATCTATGGCCTTTTTCAGAATATGGTATATTTGTATTTTATACCATTGTGTAATTTGATTTTTCATTGCAGTGCACAAATAGAAATTTTACTGTAAAACCAACTTGAATTAAGGGGTATTCTCTGGCTCTGCATTTTATGGGTAGTGACTCATTTATCAGATTGGCTATCAGAATATTGCTATATGTAAAGATTGATTTATGGTTCTCTGTTCATTCTATACCATAAATACAACATGGGTGATGTGTAGCCTTGTAGCCTGACGTGCACCTCTTCACAGATGTAACTACCTGGTGTGGCGACACAGACCACAGCAACAGTGATTGGTTATGTCGCATTTAGTTGTTCATGTCTCTCAGTGGCTGGACAAGTACCCCCTTGTTCTGCCTCACTTGGTCAGTGGTCATATAGACGTTCTTCTCTCTTACGTGTTGCATTAATTTCAGTAAACGAAACTGCTGTTCAGAATCTATTTCAACTCCAACATGACCCTCTTAGTTTCATTTGCCATTGTTAGTAAGTGGTGAAGAAATGCAGTGCTCTGGCATATAAATTCCACCACCAGCTAGTGTTTTGGCGGTGTAATTGCAGGGTGACCAGACACACAAGCGGCATAGACTACTTGCATATCCTCTCCATAGATTCAACATCGAACCATAATCAAGCTTAACAGGTACTAATTAAAGGTACATATTTCATGTAGGAGGGGCAATTCAGAGGTACACTGATGCCTTTATTTTTTCATTTAAATGTGCTGTAGACTTGCATGTGCTCAAAGATCATGCTAATATGATGTGTTATTGTCTGCAACTGCCAGTGGTGGAAAGCACCGAAGTGCAATTTTGAGGCATCTGTACTTGAGTATTTTCACTTTTGTTAACCTGATACATCAACTTCGCTGCATTTTAGTGGCAAATATTGTATTTTTTTTTTACTTCACTACATTTATTTTATAACTTTAGTTACTAGTTACTTTTCAGAACCAGATTAATACAAAAATACGGTACAATTGTAAGACCTAATTGATCTATGGTGGAAAATTCACAAGCTACCCAGTAATAATTCAAATTAAATGCATACAAGCTGGTTAAAACCAGATCTCCCTTTACCAAATGTGATGTATACAATAATGCATTAGTAATTATAGTCCATTAATAGATGTGAAATGTGCCATTCTGTCTAATGAGTACTTTTACTATTAGTATGTTAAGTATATTTTGATGCTAGTACTTTTACTCAAATAGCATTTTGAATGCAGGACTTGTAACAGAGTATTTCTACACTGTTACATTGCTGCTTTTACTTAAGGATCTGAGTACTTCTTCCATGACTGGTGAACGTACTTTCTTCAGTTGTGTTACTGGTGGCCAGAAAGCTTGTTGTCTATCTTAATGAGGCTAACATACCATAATTAAGTTTGTTTGTACAGTACAATCCTGTTTTCCCCGTTTATTCCAGATGGACCTCGGTCAGCAGTGTGGCGGGAACACCCAGACCAGCGTCGCCGTTTTCCATTTGATGCAAGAGAAGATGAGCGTGCATTCAGGAGGCCACGGTCAGGCAGCGGCAGCCTGGAAGATGAGAGGGACAGCCTGCCAGAGTGGTGTCTGGAGGATGCAGACGAAGAGGCGGGTACCTTCGACTCCTCAGGGGCCTTTCTCTCACTGAAGGTAAGAGGGCACCTAAGAAGAGTTTTGAATAAATTGGGGAAATGAAGTACTCATGCCACGTATTTATATACAGTAAATGGCTCCTTTTTGCTAGATATTATGGAGCCGATCATTTCCCTTGCCTACTAAGACTGAAAGGTTTATGGGATGATGCATTACATTTTCTGTAGCTGTGTTCTTTGCTGGGTTATCAGAAAGCCTCCAAAGAGCCAATCCTGGAAGAGGCAGAGCTCGATTTCAAGCCCCTGGAAGAGTGTGAGGAGGGCCTGGGCGACGAGGACAGTCAGCCCGACGAGACCAAAGAAACAGAAACAGAGGCCAAGAGAGAAGCCGACCAAAAAGGTCGGTTCAGTTAGTTTTTTTTAAAGTATATTAATAGGATTTGATATGAAATCAAAATTAATTTTGAAAAAAAAAAAAAGTATAGATATTCTATTAGAAGATGTTTGCTTTTTTGTTTGACCCGAGTACTGGACTCTTACCAAGAGCTAATGTACTATGTTGACATGACGCCAGGCCGACCCCCAGCAGGCAGTTCTTCGGATAGTGACAAGCTGACACAGAGACAAGGCAGATGGGGAGGTGTGGAGCGGAGGCTCCGACGCTTGGTTAAGATCGGTAGGCTCACCCTCCGGGTTATACTGTTTGCAAATGTCCAGTCTCTGGATAATAAGATGGACGAACTCCACGCTCGGATTTCCACGCAGAGGGATATTTAGGACTGCTCCTTGCTCTGTTTTTGTGAGACATGGCTGGGTGAAGGGACACCCGACGAGGCAATTACTCTGGATGGCTACTCTGTGTTCAGACAGGACCGAAGTTCTGCAGAAAGTGGCAAGATCCGTGAGGAGGAACAGCCGCCTCCGTCAAACAGTCCTGGTGCACCAACAGTAAGGTTATCTCCAAATTTTGTTCCGAAGATGTGGAATATTTAACATCGAAGCTAAGGCCATTTTATTTGCCCAGAGAAATGCAATGTATCATTGTAAGTGTACTGTACGTACCCCCCTCAGCCAAGGAGGAGGCTGTGTGACACGATCAATGAGCATGAAAACACATATCCTGATGCTGCCATTATTGTTCTGGGAGATTTCAGTCACTGCAATCTCAGGAAAAGCATGCCTAAACTTTGTCAGTTTGTGACTTTTCCCACTAGAGGAAACAAAACACTGGACCACTGTTACAGTAACATGAGAAATGCTTTCTCAGCAGAACCTAAGCCTCATTTTGGTAGATCTGACCACCTAGCAATCCGGCTCAGGCAGGTTTACACCAAATGGCTTAAGGTGAAACCAGTCACAGTGAGAACTGTTAACACCTGGACTGACTGCGCACAGGCCACCCTGTAGGGCTGTCTAGAGGCCATAGACTGGATGATCCTCAAAGGGACAACAGACAATATCCATGAATATGAGACTGGGAGTGATTACCTCAGCTGGTGCACGTCCATATTTGCCCCACCTAGATCTGTGTGTGTCGTCCTCAACCAAAAACTCTGGTCAATATGGACATAACAGAAAAACAGGAAGAGGTGGGAAGCTTTCAAGTCAGGGGACCAATTGGACTACAGGAGAGCCTGGTACGAGCTACAGAGGTCCATCCAAGCTGCAAAGAGGGCATACTTCCAAAACTGGAGAGCTGTTACATGAATAACACGTGCAGCATGTGGCAGGGAATCCAGGCAGTCACAAACTACAATAATAATAAAAGTTTATTTATATAGCACCTTACAACTCCAAAGGAGCACAGAGTGCTTCCCAACAGAACATGTATACGCTAATAAAAAAAACAGTACTAAAACAAGAAGACCTAAACAGAATAAAACAAATTTTAAAAACAGAAGGAATCAAAATCTTCCATATCAGGACACAAACGGTGTAAAACGAGTTAAAAGAGGGTTAAGACTGGAACAGGTTAGGCACCAAAGGCTTGTCTAAAAAGGTGGGTTTTTAGAGTTGACTTAAAGGCCACTAGCTCAGTTATGGACCGTAGCTCTCGCGGTAGGGAGTTCCAGAGCCTGGGGCCATACACAGCAAAAGAACGATCACCCCATTTTACAGGAACAAACCAACGATCAGTCTCCCATGGCGTCACCCTCCTGGACAGCCTTAATAACTTCTAGGTTTGACAGGCTGAACACGGATACCCTCTCAAAATTTCCCTGCAACCTGGGGCACACACACTCACAGGCTCTGAGGGGCCCTGAAACAGGTGAATCCCCATAAGGCTGCGGGACCAGACTGTGTCTCCCCTAGAGTTCTAAAAGCCTGTGGGAATCAACTAGCTAGTGTGTACGCAGACATCTTCAATCTGTCTTTAACCCAAGCAGTAGTCCCTTGCATTTTCAAAAAATCCATTATCATACTGGTCTCTAAGACATCAGACACATTCACTCTGAATGACTTCAGGCCAGTGGTGCTCACATTGGTCACCATGAAGTGCTTAGAGAAACTGCTCGTCACACACATTAACCACATGGTCCCGGACACTGTAGACCCCCTCCAATTTGCCTATCACCCCAATAGATCAGTGGGAAGACGCGGTGGCTCTGGCTTTATTTCACACCCTGAAACACCTGGACAACAGCGGAATGTAGGTCAGGATGCTCTTCCTGTACTACAGTTCTGCATTCAATACCATTCGCCCGGGCAGGCTTATTGAGAAGCTGACAGACCTTAGTGTCCCGACTCCCACCTGTAACTGGATTTTGGGCTTCCTGACAGACCACAGGTGGTCAGAATGGGAGGGCGGGTGTTGCTGAGCTCACAATCAGCACAGGCTCACCACAGGGCTGCTGTCTCAGCCCCAAACTCTTTGCCCTGTACACCCACGACTGTGTCTCCAACTATGACAACATCAACATCATTAAATATGCTGATGACACCACCATTCTGAGCCTCATCAAGTGGGGGGACGAGTTGGATTACAGAAGCTTGGTGAATGACATTCATGTTTATAGAGAGGAGAATGACCTCAGCCTCAACCTAAACAAGACAAAAGAAATAATGGTAGACTTCAGGAAGACCCCCTCCCCTCTGCTGCCTCTGACCATCAAAGGGACCGAGGTGGAGAGGGCTGACAGCCACAAGTTCCTGGGGCTTGCAGGTGACATCTGATCTGAGCTGGTCACTGAGCACAGCTGCCAGTGAAGAAAGCCCAGCAGTGGCTATACTTCATCAGGCAGCTCAGGAAAGCTGATCTGAACTGTCGCCCTCTCACCCAGGCTTATAGAGGACTGGTATCCTCACTACTGGCATCACAGTCTGGTATGGTAACACCACACAGGCAGAGAGGATAATTGGGACTGAACTGCCTGTGCCTATGGACACACTAAACACACAGCGCTGTTGCAAAAGAGCAGAGAACATAATCAGAGACTCACTCCACCCAGCTCAGTCTCTGCTCAGACTCAAAAACTGCACCCCCACAACCTTAGGCACAGCAGAGTGGATAGTATCATCACACACAGAACAAGATTTTACAACAACTTCTTTCCTTGCCAGCAGTGAGACTGATGGCAAATACAAAATGTGAAAAACCTGGGCAATAACCCCTCATTGCCCTACTAAGTAGAATAACGTATACAATTACACTATGTACAATACCATGTGCAATATTTGAAACTCTGCATTTTACCTGCTATCTTATTCCTGTATCCACAATTGAATCAACTTTTTTTTTTCTTTTTGGGTAATTTTATATTGAGACTAGGTGTTCATTTTTCTTTTGGCTTTAAAATCTTTATTTGACTCCAGGAGAGCCCTGCACAAGAATTCCTATATGCCTAGACTGTTTATGCATAAATGGCAAATAAAAAATCTTGAATCTTTTTGGTAATTTAACAGAAAAGGCAATTTTTTTTTAAGACTTCCCTCTACCTCAAGAATTTTAAGTAGAGCTACAGCAAAGCATCACTGAGATGGTCTGCTGCTGTAGTTGCTTGATCAGAGAAACCTAAGCTTATTGACACTGGGAATTCAGCCTTAGTTTTCTAGCAGAATAGTATTTTGATTGTGGACGATGGAATCCTGCTGCCTTAATTGCTGATATGAAACATTTATACTGTGATTGTAGTGGTCTTAGTATACAGTAACATCAGTAATTCATGAAATATGATTTAAAAAGTTGCACAGTATTTTTCTAATCAAGAAACTAATTATTTTTGGTTATGATTTTAATTGTGTTTTTAGAGTTGGCCAGGGTGTCAGAGGAGACTCCACCTATTGCTCCCCCAGTCTCAGAGCCCCAGGTTCCTGCCCAGTCTGTGTCTTCGAGTCAGTCTAACAGAACAGAAGAGACAGAGAGGCCAGATGAACAGCAGCCACCCCTAGAGCTCCTGCCAGAACCTGGCAAAGCCCTCCTGCATGTCCCCATGTCTAACAGCATGCTGGAGTCCCTGCCCATGATCCACATTTCTACCACCCTCACAGGTGGGGTTTGTGTCTTCTGTTTCACAGTGAATGGAAGGACTTGTGTAGTAATAGGTTTTACCTGCCCTGAAACCCAACTAATAGTGGCTATTCCCATTTCCTTTTCCCTTTCCTGTTTCCTTTTGTGCAGAAGTGTCTGCTCCATCACCCATTGTCAAACTACCCCAGCAAAAGGCCATAGAGGTTCCTGTGGCGCTGAACAATCCTCGGTCCTTCCCTTCAAGTATAATGGCACCTATTGGCAGGCCTACCACTTTGCCACATGACACAGATGAAGATGAGGGACTGAAACACTTTGAGCGGGTAAGTTAGAATTTGAACAAGATAATCTGTCATCAGCATGTTAAGTAGCTGTCCTCAACTCTAATTCCACTAACAGCCCTAAGATTTGTATGACTGATTTTCTGGACCTCTTAACGTCTTGTGCTCATTTAAGAAGAAAGTATGCTGTGAATATTATGATACCTGAGGTGTGATTACCCATTCTAAATTAATAGTTCATTTCCCATAAAAGATCATGCATTTAGTTATCAAAAATGTCTTCAGTAAAACTCAAGCAGTTAATGTTTACTAGCATCAGGGTTCAATTGATAATACTTCTTTTGTCCCTTAAGGAGTAATTTTAGGCAACGAGCCTGCAAATAACGTACACACAAACAACTCACCTACACACATTGAAAAAATTCCAAAAATACAACCATTAGACTTAAACACACAAGGATCTTTGGCCAATCCATAGCTAGTTCAGAAAGTATATTTTTCAGTGGTGACAAGGCAACCTGAGGTAGCCCTGTTGTATCAATTTAAATAGGGTTACAAGTAATGTAATATCTTTTAAAATTTGATGTAGGAAGCTGAAAAGATGGTAGCATACTTACAGGACGGTGTGGTGGATGATGACAGACTTCCAGCAAAGACTAAAGAGAAGCCCAAACCTGCAGGCCTACTGCTCACCCATGAAGCTGCTCTCAAGTGGTTTTATAAAGACCCCCAGGGGGAGATACAGGGTAAGACTGAAAGATTATTTAAATGCTGTACATTTATTTTTAAAACCCCTCTTATCTCCTCCTCTTATGCTATTTTTCTGTTCCTTCAGGTCCATTCAGTAACCAGGAGATGACAGAGTGGTTTCAGGCTGGTTACTTTACAATGTCTCTATTAGTCAAAAGAGGATGTGACGAAGTATTCCAACCTCTGGGAGAGATCATGAAGATTTGGGGAAGGATACCATTCGCTCCAGGTCCTGCACCTCCACCTCTGCAGGTATGTATTTGAAAAATGTGGCCTGTTTCCTTCATTATATGTGGAGGATTGTTTTCTGAGTCAGCAATAGTTGCCAGTACTAGCCATGACCTGCAGGTGGTGTCATGTGCTAGTCTTTTTACCAGTAAGATGTGTTAAAGAAATCTTAGATGTATTTTTTTTTCTTCTCAGCTCATTTAAATCATGTTGCATGTGTGGTCTAAAATTAAAGGAAGTCTGACCTGAAGCAAATGTATACATTTGATCCAAAGTGAGCGAATGAATGTCTGACACTGCTCAAGCTCTGTCATCAAATAGTTTTAAGTTCGTTTGTTTGCCTGTGGTGATTTATTTATCTTTTAATGAAATACAGGGTGATGGTGATCAAGAGAGGCTGAAGAGGCACCAGGAGCTCACTGCTCTCAACCTTTACCAGTTACAGCAGCTCCAATATCAATACCTCCTCAGGTATTTCAGTCCCAGATCAGACACTTGAGCCAGTTTAGCAGATTTCACACTGCTCTATCAGGTGCCACAAAAGGCTTTATACAGATTTTTTTTTTCCACATATGCTGTAGTACTCTTCAAGACCTGTAAACAGACTGTCATGTAAAATCAGGGGGGGTTCACCTTTAACTTGCAGCTGATAACACGTACATCAGGATATACATGTCCAAGTGGACATCTGTACGCTGCCTCACCTCCTTAAACCCACTATGCCAATAAACTGCAGAGTCAGTCTTTGTCCTCAGAATCTAAATCATCCTTTCGCTTTTCTGGTTTAATGCGTAAAAATATGCATCGAGCATTGAATTGTGGGTATGGATAAAATGGGATTTAAATACCCAACATGAGTGTAAATAATTGATCCATTTATTTTCATTAAAATGTAAGCTTCCTTTTACTCTTTTTCTGATTTCTGTCACCATCTGTCTTTTTTCATTCAGGCAGCAGTATGCTCAGGCCCTGGCTCAGCAGAAAGCAGCAGCGCTTAGCTCGGCTCCTCTGCAGCAGCAGCAGCAGCACCAACAGCAGATTAATCTGCTTCTTCAGCAATACCAGGCACTCAAGCTAAGGTGGAAAACATTCACATTCTTGCACAAATAAGTCTACAAGTCTTTCTGTGCCTCTAAATCTACATGTACCTTTGTTAATGCAAGTGTTTGAAAACCTTACCTTTCAATGACATGAAGGGAGCTTTGCATTTATTAATGTGTATTTGTTCATGTTTTTGTAGAGCATCTGAGAGCCTTCTACCTCCTGTTACTCGGTCCCTGTCTGTACCAGACTCTGGTTCTGTGTGGGAAATGCAGAACCCATCCTCTCAGGCTTCTTGCACACCAAACATCCAACAAGCTGCTCCAAGCAGTGAGTTTCCACCTTCAGTGTCTGGTGCCTTGGTGAATCACCTGACAGCAAAAGGAGTTTATATCATGTTACAGCAGGTATAATCCATCACATTTTGTTATTCTCAACAGCATGGGATGGCAGCAGCGTGTGGGATTTACCTATAGACTCCATGGCACAGGCTCCAACCATTGAGCAGATGCAACAGTTAGAAAAGTCAAAGTCTGCGAAGGTAAACAATGTTATTACTTCTATTTTCCTTGTGTTGGTGTAGATAAGTCCATCATATTATATTTGGGCCCTTTTAAATTAATACATTTGCTACAGGATGGAATAGATTAATTTAACCTTGGATTCATGAGACTTGTGTGCAAGCTAGATAAAATAAACCAAGATAACTTAAAGGTATAAATGTCAGAAACATGCTTAGGTTTTACTACGAGTGTGTTTTTGTTGTCATTTCCAACAGTTGGAACTAGAGAGGCGTGAAGCAGAAATGAAAGCCAAAAGAGAGGAAGAGGAGAGGAAACGGCTGGAGGAGACCCTGAGGGCACGTCAGGAGGAAGAACGCAAACGGATAGAAGAAGAGGAGCTGGCACGGCAAAAACAGGTCAAGCAGTTGCACAATGTAAATTTGCTTTCCTTGAGTTGCTGTGTCATTACGAGTGAATTTTCTTTGATGGTGCTGAGACTGAGCCAGTATTGTAAATTTGTAGGAAGAGGCTTTAAGACTGCAGCGAGAGCAAGAAGAGGCACAGCGCAGGCAAAAAGAAGAAGAGGAGAGACTGGCACAGGAGGAGGCTCTCCGAAGATTAGAGGAGAGGCGGAGGGAAGAGGAGGAGCGAAAGAAACGGGAAGAGTTCCTTCGCAAACAGGTAAACTAATGTAAAACATGCCATATTCTTAGCTGCCTTTCTGAGGGTGTGAAATGCCTCCTTAATTTGCAGTGTTGTCTAACTTGCCAGGAGGAGGAGCGCAGAAAGCAGGAAGAACTTGAAGCACTGAGGCGTGAAGAGGAGAAGCGCGCGGAGGAAGAGGCAGCAGCTGCTGCGGTGGCAGCTGCCTTAGCCCAACAGCAACAGGAGGAGCAGAAGAGGAGAGAGCATGAGGCCCAGAGACAACAGGAGCTGCAGAGACAGCGGCAGCAGCAACAAGAGGCCCTCAGGAGACTTCAACAACAGCAGCAGCAGCAGCAGCTTGCACAAATGAAGGTAAGGGCATGGGGGATTGGTCAGCAAAAATGTATTTGAAATAGATTTTATGTTGACTAAAATGTTCACCCTGATTTGTAGCTTCCATCCTCTTCAAAGTGGGGCCAGCAGTCAGCCAACGCTATAAACCAGACTCATAATGCCCTGTCACTGGCTGAGATCCAGAAACTGGAAGAGGAGCGAGAACGACAAGCACAGGAGGAGGTAAGGACAGCAGGCAGGAGCCCTTTTAGTTACCTTACCACACCACTATTTTAGTACCGCTCTTGAGGTGTAAGCAATATGGTTGTTTTTTTTTTTTTCTTAGTTTGTTTTTTACTTTCATTTTCTGTCAATGTCTTTCCTAAGTGATCCTACTTTGTCCCCCATAGCAGCGACGCCAGCAACAAGAGCTTGTGAAGCTACAGCAGCAGCAGGCCCTGCAACAGGCTCAGCAGCCTCAAGCCAAGTTATCTGGTTGGGGTAACATGGCTAAACAGCCAGTTGCTACAAAGTCTTTGCTGGAGATTCAGAGGGAGGAAGCCCAGCAGATGAAACAGCGGAAGGACCAGCAGCAGCAGCAGCAGCAGCAGCAACACCACCACCCCATTGCCACCCAACAAACCAACAGTCAGAACAGAATTGTATGTAATATGAGGCTCCCAAGTTCCAGCTTTGCAGTTATCATGATTTTCACATTTTGCAGACCAGATGCCCTTTTAATAAAAGTAATAGGAAGATAAATTGCTACTGGAAAAAACTGTCCCTTGCAGCCCTAGAAACAAGTGATATGTGAGTTAACAGCATCTCACTCTGTTCGCAGACATCTCTGAGCAGCTCAGTGTGGGGGTCTGTCAATACCTGCACTAACTGGGGCACAGACTCCAGCAGTATCTGGGGGGACACCCACAGCTCTAACATGGGCTTCTGGGATGAGGCAGTGAAGGAGGCTGTTCAGCAACCTCCTCAAACCAGGAAAGTAAACGTGCCGAAGAACAACAAAGGCAGCACCAACCTCAGGTGTTTAAGACAAATGTCTTAGAACATTGGAAGGAAAACGTGATTTACCATATAAAGGAAGTGAGTAATACAGGAATATTAACTGCTTCTTTTTTCCTTCCTGCCCTGTTTATTTGTGCACATTAAAGTAACTCTTTGAGTGGGCGAGCCAACAAGAAGGTAGAAGAGGAGGAGAAGCTGCTAAAACTATTCCAAGGGGTCAGTAAGAGTCAGCAGGACACCTTCATGCAATGGTGTGAGCAAACCCTGCACACCCTTAACACAGCCAACAATTTGGATGGTAAGTCTTTTTGCAAAAGTCTCTCCACCCACAGCTATTGATGCTCTATTTCTGGAAGCCAAGACTCACAAGTATGCTCCATCCGTTTCCCTGCCAGTGCCTACGTTTGCATCTTTTCTGAAAGAGGTGGACTCTCCATATGAGGTACATGACTACGTCAGGGCCTATCTGGGGGACACTCCTGAGGCTAAGGACTTTGCCAAGCAGTTCCTAGAACGTCGTGCCAAACAGAACACTAACCAACAGAAACAGGCACAACAAAACCAACAGCAAGCCCTCAAACAGCAACAGGTGAAGTGGTAATCAGTTATTTAAAGGCTCAGCATATGGGTACCAAATTTTTGGTACCCACTTTTTCCAGCTTCTCATGTCAGTTTAATATTTTGGACTGTTGGTCCGTGATTCAAAGGTGTCATCGTAGCACAAATAGTAACATTTTGAATTAGCCAGTGTCAAAGAACTTCAGCGAATGGATTTTTGCATTGTAACATTTAAATTAGTTTTTTTAATCTCTCTCTCCTGTCTAGGATTCTGTATGGGGTGGAACAGGATCTTCGTCAGTCTACCAGTCCAACCATACGAGTGGCCAGCAACAGCGCTTTGAGACTGTCACCTCAGGGAAGAAGAAAAAGAAGCAGAAGATGGTTCGTGCAGACCCCAGCCTTCTAGGTGAACACCCATCTGCAAAATCTTCAGTGGTGTCACTGCTTTTTTGTTTTTTTTTTTTAAAACATTTGCTAATTATATCTTTGCCTTTTTAAATTTTCAGGTTTTTCTGTGAATGCATCATCTGAGAGATTGAATATGGGAGAGATTGAGACTTTGAAGGACTTGTAAGGGACTGCAGCCAAGCAAACTCCACTGACTGTATCCAAATTGAACAGCAGCTTTTTTTTTTTATCCCTTTATTTTGGGTTTCCCTTCACATATTCCAGACAGTGATTTCTATGGTAGGGACATGTAATCTGATGAAAACACAAGGAAAAATGTACTGGAGAACACTGGCCAGCCAAGTGAGCAATCACCAAATAAATTCAAGTTTCTGAAGGAAGTCTCCAGAAACATTGACATGTTCTGTTGCAGAAAGTCAAAGTGACAACAAATTTCAAACTTGGTCTCCATTGTATTATTTTTTGTTAATGTGTATATATATATAATGGGTATTATTGAAAGGTGGGAGAAACTATGCCATATCACCTGTTTTTATTTATTTAAAGTTACCCTTACACCTAACACCCCTTCCCTTCCTGTTTTCTGCTGGGTGTTCCTGGATAATGATGGCAAAATAGGGCTGAGGATTTATGGCCACTTATGTCCTGTTTTAAGGACATGCTAAAGAGTACCAAGTAGTTATATCTATTTCTTGTAAAATACTAGGCTGTTTAAAGAATAAACTTTCATCTCTGCATCTGTATTATAATATATGAAAATGATCTGCTGGAGTCATACTTTTTTATTGCAGTATGAAATAATAAAATGGTCTGATGTGTGGGCTGTTCACACTGTCTGAACCATTCAGGAAACCCTGAAAATGTCTTGGATCCATGTGCATTCACCTGGCCACACTTCAGTAAATCACATCTCAGAGTTCCTATTTAGAGTTACAACTGTATACATGAAATTCAGTCACTGCCAGGAGGAGAACTTGTGTGAAGCAATGTATCAGGATTTATGGAATTAGACTAAACCGCATTTTTGTTTCCTCCAAGTGTAAGAATTATCAAACTGAAAACGAGTAAGTGCAACACATACCTTTCCTGACTAATCCGCTGCATACTATATATTCTGCTGACAGTTTTTTCACTTTCTCCATATATATTGGCAGTTTGTGCCAAGCAGGCTGAACATTTTTTACTACACGAATATTCAAATTGCAGGCTAACTGTTAAGCAACATAAAAAGACTGACTTTTTAGGAAGTTTTCATATCCACAAAGAGGATGTAAAACCCACCACTTCCTTCTACTGAAAACAGAAGCATGCAAGCAGGTGCTCACAAAAAGCCTTTTTAAAAAACCTACACTGCTTGTACATGTGGTATTCAAGTCTTCCAAAAAGAAACGGGTGAAGACAAAGATGAGATCTGGGAAGCATCTGCTTGACCAAGGTGCCCATTAGCCAAATACCAAATCCAAATCATGGTTACTGTTTTGCTCTCTCCCTCTTCCTGCAAAAGTATTCATTTACTGTACTCAAGTATACTGCAGCTTCATACTTTTATATAGGCAAATAGGTTTTTATTCACTACATTTGACATAAGAATTGGTCTAAAGATGGAGAATACTATTCAGTCTCTTGAATAATATGTTGTGTAGCTCAGGAGGAGCCTTAAGTCTGAAAACAACCCTGAGGATGTTGGGTCATGGCATGTAGGTCTGGTATTGTGCCCATTTACAGATGTTTCCCTCAGAGAAACAGCAACCACTGAAACTTTACAGGATAAAGTCAGTCATTTTCACTATTAGCATGATTTTAAACACTCCCCAACAATGATTTTCCTCGATTAATGTCAGAACTATCATTCTGTCAGAACTGGATTAGTGTTTTTGTCTGTTCCATAGACCTTCATTGATGTTAAAAAACAAATACATGTCAGGGAAACGTATCCCTGCAATTTCCTCATTCCAAAACATCAGACCCAGATATTTTTTTTTATTGTTGCCCCACAGGCTCTGAGCGACTAACATTTTACAATATCTGAGGGGCCCACTGAAGTCAAGGGCTCATGCACAAGATCACTGATATTCGTAACAAATATCAGTCTTGTGTTTTGCAATGAGGAAATATGCCGCTAAGCACAGTGGTGTGTTTCCCAGATGCGTTTTTAAACAACAGAGGTCTATGGACATACAAATAAGATAAATCAGGCCAATCCAGTTAATCATGAGTAGAGACAAATCATTGTTGGTTTTAGTCTTTGTATGGGGAATGTTAAAATAAATATATAAAATGACTGGCCTTAACCTTTAATAGGGGACATTGTCTTTCTACATACCTACCAACCTGGCTACACCTATGAAAAACACTGAGGAGAGGCCCAAATATATCTAACATACAACCTAATCAAACAAACTTCAGAAGGACAGAAATACAAAACAAGTGTCTCCTAAAACAAATTTGAGTACAATGTACAAATAAACGAGTAATCAATGTAGGTGAATACAGAAAACAGTACAAAGTACTGGGAATGGGCAGTCACTCAAAGTGACTACATAAATGAGAGGCAGATAAACTGAAACCAACAAAAAGAAAAGACGGCTCAGCTGCTCACGTTAAATCACAGCTGTCCTGAAAGAGCTGAGCCATAATTTGAAAGTAGGACAGCCTAATAGCAGCATGGTACTGGAATGCCAGTCCAATCAGTAATGAACAGGTGCAGACAGCTGCTGACCCAATACCAGACAAGCATCCACACATGCTAATTTGCATACTGAGTAACTGTTGGACAGGAGGGGGCAGGGCTGTGACACCCCTCCCCTTGAAAAGCAAAGGCTAGGTGTGTCAATCTAAAGTTACATCACTAAACACAATTGCTGAACAAGGGTTCTACAAGAGATGCTTCTTCTACTCCACTGTCCCACAAAATGAGAACAAATGATATATGCTTACTGTGGTTGGTCGAGTGGTGGAAGATGAGGCAGGCGTGGAATCAGCAGGCAGGTTTGGCACACGAGTCTGACATAGCCTCACAGTGTGGAGTTAGCCTTCTCTTTGAGTTTCCATCTGGAGGTGGGCAAGGTGGAGTGTAAACTAAGCCTTGTTACACAGAGCTAGCAGAGGAGAGTGGAGCATGATGAAGAAGTGTGAACAGAATTCTACCCCACCCATCTCCCTCAGCATCTGCCTCATCTACTGCTACAGACTTCAGTCTTAGGGCTACCCACCCCTTCTCTCAGGGTGCCATCCTCAAGCACAGATTCTCAGCCAATAACTCTGAACACAAGTTCCACCATCTCACCAACTAGAGCTTTAAGCCCATCTTTAACCTTAACTAAGTTCATCTTTCTGGCCAAGGGAGGGTGAAGTGAGTCACAGTCATCAGTTCCACGGCAGTTCTCAATTCGGCCTAATGAGGGCTGGAACACAACTGCTCTCAGCCAACTATCCACACACAGAACAACTTAAAACTCCCCAACCGTTAAAATAATAACTTTGGCATGGAATCCCCTAAAAGAGCCTCCATTTACATTATGACTCAGTTCATTGGGCAAAAGGGAAGTTACTTCCCAGTGAGCTAGCATAAACTTTTAAAGCAGGAGAATAGGTGAGACTAGTTGCTGCTCTTGGATTGGATCACGGGACTGGGACTGGGATGCTGGTCCAATCACTAAGGGAGGGAGGTCGGCCAAGAAACAGATGCAGGCGGCAAGGGAACCAATCCCAAACGGCCATCTGAACAGACCAACTTGCATTTGGACAAAAGGTTATACTCAGAGGCCAGGGCTGTAACACAACATACAAACCTTAGGCTGGGTCATAACAGAATCCTTGTGAATTCCCATCTTTTTGGAAGAGTAATGCTGAATTGCTGAAGTTTAAAATGTTATCACACATCTGATGCACAGTAGCCTATTTATAAATGAGCTGAATGATTCCAATGATTCCTCTACTACTGCCATCTTTAGATTTTAAAAATGAATCTGTTCACTGCCAGTTATTCCCTTCAAGAGCTGAGGTCAGTGGCTACTCAGTGTTTACCCCTCACACCCAACTATGTGGCCCGAGAAATTTGGAGCGGGTGGGCCCTACGATGATGTGCTCACAAAGTCCACACTGTCTAGACAGCCCTGTGCTCACCTAGTCCCACCCCTTCTCTGACCCCTCAGCTGCCTGCCTTTCTCCCTCCTGTGCTCCTCCATACCCATCTCTTGCGCCTTCACTACGGTCAGGTACTCGAAGTCACTGTTCGAGGAGATCTGGACACGCTCATCCTTCACAGCCACCATGGTTCACAGCAGAAGCAGTATCTGCAGAGTCCTGCTTGTGCTGCTCCTTTGTCTCTTGGTAACCTTTGTACACACAGGTAAACCACTTGTTGAGTCTGTTGTTTTCATTTCTGCGGTTGCGTGACAAAAATGCAATTTTGCCTGCTTGTGCCACAACTAATCATCACTCATGGCATTAAAAGTTTAGAGTGCAAGTTATTATGCTATTTTGTTGTTCATGTTCAGGAAAATAGGATGGATTTCTATTACATTTGTAGCCTTATGCTGTCTTTTAATCTGTATAAGAACTTGGAATATGCACGTTTATTTACATTCTAAATGCTTAGTTGTTTGCTTACCGGTTATATTTCTAGATAAGTAGTTTAGCATGTTTAGTCCTCAGTATGTATCAAATCAAAGGTATGTGTATATGTGTCGTTTTGCCCTCTTTTCCACATGCACACACTCAGGCTTGGATGTGAGTCTGCAGCCTGGTGTAAATGGTGCAGTTGTTGAAGCTGTGAAAGCTGCTCTTTGACAAACAGGATGACTCAGTTGCTCTCATGATGCCCGATGTTCATATGAAACTAAAAACCCACTACCCTCTGACTTGAGCTAAACTGAAGTGATTGTGTGTGGTACTGGTAGTAAGCATGCAGAAAATGTTTACAACTAACATCAACTGGTTCTCAGCATGGGCACTGTTTAAGACTTGACAGATTAGAACGCTCACTGGTCTTTGACTTTTACTTACTTCTCTCGGGTGGACTATTCCTCTTTTTGTTACCTCTTAAACCACCTTGAAAAATGGCTCTGAACACAGTAGAGGAGCTCTCAGGCCCAGAGGTCAGAGTACAGGTCAAGAGGGCAGCAGAGTGCCAGGTATATAACAAGTCCGCAGTGTCCTCCGTGTCCTGTGAAAGCACAATATAACTGTGAACTGTCACCTTTTACATTAAACATGATCAAGAGAACTAGGGAAGGGAAGAATGAGTGTACACTGAGTCTCCACTCTGCAGCCTCGTGGCATCATCTTCTTCGCTGTCAGTAATGTGGTAGTTGTACACAATAGGTGATGTTTTCAAATAGTACCAGCAATCTTGACCACAACACCAACCCCGTGACTGAACCAGCATGATATGCAGCCTCACTGGCTGACTCACCATGGCAAACAATCCAAGATGTATCAAATACTGTAAGTTTAAGCAACAAGGTGTGATAACTACTCACTTAATACTACAGACAGTGTGAAAGACTCAGCGCCTTGTTCTGTAAAGCAGAAAAAGGTTCATTACTAACAATCCCAGCAAACAACTCTTCTCATTTCAGAGTGAAGCCAAGGCACAGACACGTCCGATGTCATGTTTAGGCTGTGTAGCTCGCAGTTTCAGTGCTTGGCCAGATTGTGTTTCACACATACACACACACACACACACACACACACACACATCTGCATGCTTTGTCATCTCTCTGGCTGGTGTGAAATCCTGACTGAAGAGGCCTGAGGTACAAACAAATGGCCTTCTGTGTTTTTAGTGTCTGAAATAAGCCCTCCTTTCAGGCTACTGGACTTTTATGTGCCTGGAGTTGTGTGATGTAAGAGACTGAGGATTCTTGATTGACATCTGGTTTTATTACTGCAGTGTTTTCCAACCAGGGGAACTTGTACCTCTGGGGGTACTTCTGCTGTTATCAGTGTGGAAAGCTCAACTAACTCAAACTAATGAACTAACTCAACCAAATTAATTGCAGTTTAATCAAAACACACGCATATACATTTTAAAACAGCCAATTAATTACAAATTAATGACCAGTGAGCTGTAGATCAACATGAGTCAGATCTAACACAATAATATCACATGTAGCAGCTGAGAATGCATGAAAACCAGTTAGCTAACAAAGGTGAACTACTTAGCTAAAATAATGCATAAACAGTTGAAATAAGTGAAAAATAATGAATAAACAGGTAAAAGAGCTGAAAGCATAGTTGAAATATTTGAATCAAAGTAAAGGATAAACAGCAGTGCTGGTGGAGGTGGATACTGGAGTTTATCTGTGAGGCTGCGAGGGTACATCAGTTAAAAGAGGCTGGGAACCACTGACATAGTGGATAAGAATAATATTATATTTTTAGAGACATCAGTAATGTTAATTTCATGTAACAGAAATTACAAGCTTATGTAAACCCCTCTGTGCAAACAAACACGAACGGAAAACATTTTATTATTTTTTGACTTCTTATTAAATCCGACTTTCCAGAAGGTACAGCCTTTTTGCACACAGACTATTTAATAAACAAGTTTATTTGACATCCAGTGCCTAGCCAGTGCCTGGTTTGAGCCTGACCGGTTGTTACTGGTTGCAGCCCGCCATCCTGCATGGCTGCACAAGCTGCCTTTTGTGCCCTCAGCTGAAGGCCTCATTGATGGCTTAGCTGGCCAGAGGCCTGGGCCTCCAAACCTTGAGGCTACACTCGGCTCGCCACAGCAGCATTAAAATACATTAGAAATGCATATCAGAACTAAATTCTATCATAGGCACTGGTGTCTTGGTAATTTTGTCATGTTTTCCTTTCTATTTTGCCACATTAACATGAGGCTTCTTTGATATCAATAAAGAAAAGACAGCATAGAGAATATATGAAAAAGAGTGAAGGAGGTTACTCGGGTCATCAGAGACTGCAAAGTAAATATGTCGAGTTAAATAAGCCAAGTGTAAATATGTTTGGATTATGTTTTTGTTAGTATGTGTGGAGTTGATGATATGTGAATCACTGAGTGTGTCACTGGATGGGCTTACAAATGAAGTTTGTTTATTTTTCAGGAGAGATGAAGATTAAAATTTCCTCCTGTCCCTCTGGTTTTGAAAAGAAAAGCTGTACAGCTGTTCAATTACAAGAGAGATGGCAGCAACCACAATCACAAACACAGTCTGGTGGTTTAGGCTCTTCAACAGAGCATTCCCGGAAGCCAGAGTTGTGTTAGAAAACACAGAAATGTGACCCAGAAAGAAGCCTTGTTTATCTGGCTACTGTAGAGGTGTGAAAACTCTCACAGTAACTTCATGTTCAGATGGGAGAAATGTCAGAAGACATTCTGGGATGGAACGAGAACAGACAATTGACTGGCAGAAGACAAGAGAGCAGAGAGTTGGACAGAAACTGAGCTTCATGCACCTGCCTCATCAACAGGCTGTTTCTGCTATAGCATAAAATATAATCAACCAAACTGTAGCTGAAGGACTTTTGTATACATTAGACAGTCTTGGCTGAGCCCTTATGTAAAAGATAAACATGTCAAAAAACTACCTGTAGCTCAAATGGACAAAATGTTCATCCTCTACAAAGGCACCCTTATGCCCAGGCTTGAGCCGTTAGCCCAGTGACACAAGAGAAAGGCTGTTACAAACAGGGCTGTGTATACAGATCTGCATCCCCAATGCCTCGGTGTGCAGAGAAAGGTCAGAGCCATCAGCAAAGCTGCGCACCTCTTCAGTGAAATTACTGCTTTACGAAACCATACAATAGACCAGTACGATAGGCAGTCATTGTCATACAGTTTAAGATGATTCTAGTGTTCTTCTTGTCCTGCAGAGACCATGGCAGACCCTGCCTCACCAACCAGGGACAACCAGGACACTCTGTCTGGAGAACCGCCCAGTGACGTCACCACCAAAGAATCCTCCCACGACGTTACAGAGCAGACCTTCATCTACAACTATGAGGATACTACACACCCCCAGGCCATGGATGATGAAGAAGGTATAGCTGACACATCTCCAAATGATCTAGCATGAACAACCATACATTTTATATGTATTCCAGTTAAATCTACACCAATGTTTGTGTGTGTGCAGGGGTCCTGGGGCCAGGGGCCATCACAGCCATTGTTATAGCAGTTTTCTTGGGAGCGTCCGTCCTCCTTGCCCTCATCATCATCACGCTCAGGAAATTCACTGCCTCCTAGAGTGAACACTTCCCATCTTGTGTGTGAGTGAGCGAGTGTGGGGGTTTGTACAGCATGAATGTTTGTGAGTCACTGTATCTTTTGCAATTTCTAATTCTCTCTCATCATTTAAGTTGTGCCCTTTGCTTTGCTGTAGATGCTGAAAGTTGTGGCAGGTCCCTTGACTGAGCACAGGTTTACTCCTGTCAACACACGCTGTCACACAACTTGTCCACTTGTTCCTGAAGACCTAATGTTAGAAACTGGCTGGCTCTTCCAGTGGAAATCGTAGCATGTCCCTGTCATTTTTATTTTTTCAAGATCTCACATGCATGCTCTAAAGAGTTTTGAATGTTTGTGGGCTGATGTTTTCTTGAGCATTTGCGATGAAGCAAGTGCTTTTGTTAGTCTCTCACTTTCTCCCTTCAATAAGATATTTGAGATTTACTGTATGTGCCTATCCATGTGGTTATTAGTTTTTCATAATGATTTTACTTTGTGCCAAAACAATTTCCAAATACACTCCCTTGGTGTCAGCCCTGTACTGGTTTTGATGTTTGTGTTCCAACATTTACAAACAGTCGAAATAAGAAACATTTTTGGGAAAGGCTTCTTCAATGAATGTAAACAGGGCAGTTCAGTTGTTTGTTTTATCTGCAGAGCAAATATGAAGTTAGAACACTGACGTGTGTTTTTTTGTTGTTGTTTTATTCACGGGGAAATTTTATTCAGGTAAAATAATTTGGGCTTTTTTCTATACGCCTCAGAGTAATCAACCATACAGCTGAATGTCACTGCCCATTGTTTTTATTTTGAGATCTGAGTTGAATAAAAGAAAAAATGACAATAAATCAGATGTCAAATGTCTGTGACTACTGTGTGGGTTTTTAAAGCTACTCCAACAAATTCTGTTTCAGCCTCGAGGGTCTAGTGAGACTCAAAACAAACGGACACCATAAGCTGATCCTAACTGCTCTTTCCTACTCCCATCATGTTCTGTTTCCTTAGTGACAACATAAACTACAGATGCCTGGTTGCGACAGATTGTACAAAATGCAGCCTCCAGTTTGAAGCTAATGCTAGCTGAGTAAGAAGTAAATTTGGCAGTCCAGTAAAACGCTCTGGTTATTGCTAATGTGACATAAAATACTAACATTACACAAAGCTCAAATTACTCCGAAATTAAAATCATATCACTGATGATAAATGTGTTAAATGCTAATTCATCCAGAAGAAGAATGCCACATTAAGAATATGTTTGATAAGAAGTTGCAAACGGCACTACCATTCTCTGCCCTTGGTCTTTTGGTTGTGGAAGATGAAAGGAGATCATGGAGGTGAAAGCAATGAGAAACTGCACTAAATGAGTGAAATTGTGGATACTACAGTGACAGGCTGAAGGGGTGTTCCTGAACGGTTCTCTTCTGTGCAATGATTCGCTAAGTTGAACAGCAAATCAGAGTGGTCTCGCTCATTGATGAAGCCCACCCCAATTCAACATGCCTAACTGGCCAAAAAGCCACCAATAGGGTCCGACTAGCACCAACAGTGAAGGACACACTGCGAAAACCAGGACAACAGATGCTCGCCAACAGCCGATCTTTGGCTTGGTGTGTCATGGGCCAAAGAATGTTACTTCTTTGGTCTGGCTGCCACTGTTTTTTACAAAACCCCTCTGGTGCTCTGCTTTATTGCCCAGTTCAAAACATTTGTTAGAAAAGTAATGTAATAAGTTATATAACTTTGATTATTAATTAAAATAGTTACATAACATCACATTTTAACAGGGTTAGTAGTAATCTTTCATCTGTTACAATTCAAAAGTAAACTTCCCAACAATGCATCATGTCACATTTAACAGATGAGAGGTCCTCCAGAGCTGGCTTTTCGTAATTACTACTCGTGTTTCCAAAAAATGCTTCTTCTAACCTTCACTAGGGGACAGGTGGGGCTGATTTATGGACCATGTTTTGACAACACAGGACAGAAAAGGGCTGAATAACAACAACAGAAGTGCTGTAGGCAGCAGAGTGTCATGGAGAGGGTTAGGATAGCGGAGAGACACCACATCCTGTTACATTCTCACTTGATTTACCTGACAGTGAGCTCTTAGTTTATGCACCTTTATACACTGTGAACAGAATTGTATTTCTGTAGGATTTTTGGAATTAACACTGTCTTTACTTTTTATTTCTCTATTTGTACCAGTTAGTACTGAAGTACTAAATAAAAAGGCAGTTTGTAATGCTAGCCCTAGAGATGCAAAATAATCAAGGCATGTTTTCAGAAAATATAACAAAAATGCCTTCAAAACATACATTTTGCATTTCTATAACTGATGCCTCTATAAACTGCAAATCATAACTACTTTATTACTATGGAACTGCAATCACTTTATTCTATTGCTGCTGGGGTTCTATTAAAATTAATTTAATTAATATAAAGGGTTTACTGTATCTCAATAAACTCTTTACATAAGCATATGGTTCCAAAACACAGAGGGAAATGTAATGTTAAAAAAAGAATAAATCTGCATTCACTGACACCACTGGCCTTACGTCATTCAGAACAGAAGGCAGCAGTGTGGTTAGCAGCTTCATTTGCAGTAAAAGCTATGGTTTTACTAAACATGAAAGTAATATTTGACATTATTATACCCATTCTAGTTTATGGTGATTCAAATGTGTGCCACTGCTAACTGATGAGGGTAATTTCAAACTTCATCACCAATGAAACCAGACAAAACATCTTCTCACACTAACACATCTCAGCACATGAAACCAGGAAACCCACAAATATAATCACAGTCAAAATCTTCCCCTGCAGCTTCTCGGGAACTTCAAATGTGCTTTGAAAGACCTTTTAGAAAGGAAGACTGATTTCCACAAGCACACTCAGACAAATAAATACTAGTACTAATACCAGTATCAGTATAGAACTCAGAGCAGTAGAGTCATCAGACTGTATTAGTGATCACCACTAGACTTGAGTCAAGTGCTGGAAACTGAGCATAAACAAACTTCTTTAGCCTAAAACATAGGAAGTCAAAAGAATAGGCTATAAGAATATGAAGGCACCTGGTCCAAACCTTTTCTTCAGACATTATTTTTACCAAACCTCCAGAATATGGTGTAGTTGTGTAATCACGCCAACTAAGTTTAGTAAACACTAACATTTACATGGTGCAGTGAACACTCATAATCAATGTGACTTCTTTTTTATACACTAATGGAAATTCCCATCAGAGGGAACGCACGCCACAATCTTATTCAGAAGTACTCGTGAGAGACCTGTGGTGTTAGCCAATACTGTTTCCTCAATTTTATTTCATTTCACAGTTATGTTGGCTTGTGATGTTTGGCTTTTTAGTCTTTCAGCAATTTTTTTACCCATGCCAGCAGCATGGCACTAGAGACGGAAGTGTTGGTCATCTAGTCACTCAGTTGGCTCACCACTTTGGTCCAGATGGAGACATTAGAGTAATGTAGTGGTTTTGAGTGAAATGGCACAAACATTAATGGGATGCCATTTTATCAAGTGCCATCACTGGGTCAGTATATCAATGTCCCATTCCATTGACTTTACCTTCCCATCAGCCTTTACTATACTTTGAGTTTAGTGTTAATTATCAAAAGTTAACATGCTAGCACACTAGAATAAGATGTTAATACTGTACTTGCTAGATATAAGCATGTTAGCATTGCTATACTTAGCATGTTGACATCACATAATTGTCTAATCCGAAATGTCAAAAATAGTAAAGGATGTCCATCAGAATGTCTCAGAACTCAAGGTGATGTCTTTAAATATCTTGTTTTGTACAACCAGCAGTTCAAAGTCCAGTGATTTGGTTCTACATTGCACTACCTGCAGTAATTTTTACAGTGCCTTGCGAAAGTATTCGGCCCCCTTGAACTTTGCGACCTTTTGCCACATTTCAGGCTTCAAACATAAAGATATAAAACTGTAATTTTTTGTGAAGAATCAACAACAAGTGGGACACAATCATGAAGTGGAACGAAATTTATTGGATATTTCAAACTTTTTTAACAAATAAAAAACTGAATAATTGGGCGTGCAAAATTATTCAGCCCCTTTACTTTCAGTGCAGCAAACTCTCTCCAGAAGTTCAGTGAGGATCTCTGAATGATCCAATGTTGACCTAAATGACTAATGATGATAAATAGAATCCACCTGTGTGTAATCAAGTCTCCGTATAAATGCACCTGCACTGTGATAGTCTCAGAGGTCTGTTTAAAGCGCAGAGAGCATCATGAAGAACAAGGAACACACCAGGCAGGTCCGAGATACTGTTGTGGAGAAGTTTAAAGCCGGATTTGGATACAAAAAGATTTCCCAAGCTTTAAACATCCCAAGGAGCACTGTGCAAGTGATAATATTGAAATGGAAGGAGTATCAGACCACTGCAAATCTACCAAGACCTGGCCGTCCCTCTAAACTTTCAGCTCATACAAGGAGAAGACTGATCAGAGATGCAGCCAAGAGGCCCATGATCACTCTGGATGAACTGCAGAGATCTACAGCTGAGGTGGGAGACTCTGTCCATAGGACAACAATCAGTCGTATACTGCACAAATCTGGCCTTTATGGAAGAGTGGCAAGAAGAAAGCCATTTCTTAAAGATATCCATAAAAAGTGTCGTTTAAAGTTTGCCACAAGCCACCTGGGAGACACACCAAACATGTGGAAGAAGGTGCTCTGGTCAGATGAAACCAAAATCGAACTTTTTGGCAACAATGCAAAACGTTATGTTTGGCGTAAAAGCAACACAGCTCATCACCTTGAACACACCATCCCCACTGTCAAACATGGTGGTGGCAGCATCGTGGTTTGGGCCTGCTTTTCTTCAGCAGGGGCAGGGAAGATGGTTAAAATTGATGGGAAGATGGATGGAGCCAAATACAGGACCATTCTGGAAGGAAACCTGATGGAGTCTGCAAAAGACCTGAGACTGGGACGGAGATTTGTCTTCCAACAAGACAATGATCCAAAACATAAAGCAAAATCTACAATGGAATGGTTCACAAATAAACATATCCAGGTGTTAGAATGGCCAAGTCAAAGTCCAGACCTGAATCCAATTGAGAATCTGTGGAAAGAACTGAAAACTGCTGTTCACAAATGCTCTCCATCCAACCTCACTGAGCTTGAGCTGTTTTGCAAGGAGGAATGGGCAAAAATTTCAGTCTCTTGATGTGCAAAACTGATAGAGACATACCCCAAGCGACTTACAGCTGTAATCGGAGCAAAAGGTGGCGCTACAAAGTATTAACTTAAGGGGGCTGAATAATTTTGCACGGCCAATTTTTCAGTTTTTTATTTGTTAAAAAAGTTTGACATATCCAATAAATTTCGTTCCACTTCATGATTGTGTCCCACTTGTTGTTGATTCTTCACAAAAAATTACAGTTTTATATCTTTATGTTTGAAGCCTGAAATGTGGCAAAAGGTCGCAAAGTTCAAGGGGGCCGAATACTTTCGCAAGGCACTGTAAAACAAAGGAAAGTATCAGATCGTCAAATTTTAGAATTAAACAACTAATTGTTTCAGCTGTAGCCTACTGTATATTGTTAGCGCTCTGAAATGTCTCTCAGCACGTAAAAGACAACCAATGTATTTATCACTGCATGCTGTTCATTTCTTCACTTTTACAAACATAAATGAAATCTACTGTTAAAGCGGTTTGCAGTGATCATGCATGCAACTATAATGTGCAGGTTAATAGTAAAACAACCTGGACAAGTTCAAGTCTGCTCTAATTTTAAATGGTTATGATGCACATTTTAATACATATTATGTGTGGCATTTCTCAGGAAGTGGTAATGAAACACCACAGATAAAGAAAGCAGAACTGCGTCTGGCACAGTGCAGAGTGGCAGACACACTGAACGTTCAACTTATAGACTGGCATTCATAAGGTAAGGACACAACTACATTTGGCACTGTACGAGATATTTAATATTAAAGAGTGATACTGTACATCTGACTTACTGAAGTGTTACAGTAAAATGTTAATGAGGAACTAAAGATGAGTTCTACTATTTAACTTTCAGTGACATCTGCAGAGTAGCTTCATACCTGATTCGCTGTGTTCAGTTATGCTTAAATCACTGAACACTCATTATTATTATTATCAGTGTTCAATTAAAGACAGGCATTGAAACATGTAGACTGTGAAAACATACTGTATGTGGCTAGGTGTCTAATCTGATACATTAAGAATCAGCTATTTCCTTGAAAATCTAGGTAAAAATCTAGTTACATTATAAAGATCTAAATAGTTTACTAATTGACTTCAACCTCTACTTGATTCATTACTTCTGTAATTTAAATGTAAACTGAGCATAAAGAGCAATGTTGTCGTCTTTGGACTTTACATCAGAAAGCAGAAACAAAAAAATAAGTTCACGGCTCCTGTACTTGCACAACTGAGATGTTTCAAGTGGTCTGACTCAGGCGTATCGCACATATGTTTGTGTGTGGGGGAAAAAAGTGTAATGAGAGGAAAGAAAAGGTTCATTTCACAGCCGTTGTCTCAACTTAAACTTAGCTTTGAAATCCTGACAGAGTTGTTGATATCAAATTATTTTCCTGCAGTGACACCATGACAAGCAACTGTTCGTTTGAAGAGGTGGACCAGCTGATGAAATATTTGGAGCCGACCATCTATATACCCATATTCCTCTTTGGTCTGATTCTCAATGCTATAGCGCTGTTGGTGTTTTGCAAATTTTTGCGAAAATGGACTGAGTCAACTATCTACATGACCAGCTTGGCTCTGATGGACCTGGTCCTCCTCTTCCCTCTTCCCTTCAAAATGCACGCAACTAATCACCTCTGGCCCGCCCACCTTCAACGTCTCTGTTCAGTGTTGGAAAGCCTGTATTTTGTTGGGATTTATGGCAGCATCTACATCATCATGTGCATAGCGGTAGATCGATGGCTTGCTATCTGTCACCCGTTCAAAGCTAAGCAGCTGCGTTCACCCAAAGCGGCTCTGGGGACCTGTGTGGGGGTCTGGTTACTGGTGCTGGCAGCAATGTCTTCAACCATCTACCGCTTCGGGGAGGGCAGGCAGACATACTTCCACTGCTTCCATGGGTTTTCAGAGAACGGCTGGAGCCCTTCAGTGATCATCTCTCTGCTGATATTTGGCTTCCTCATACCTGCACTGGTGGTGGTTTACTGCTCGGTCCAGACCGTCTGGGCACTTCAGCAGTCTGGCCAGCACAGCCCCAAGAGCCAGGCCTGCGTGAAGATCATCTACAGCAGCCTGAGTGCCTTCCTGGTGCCTTTCACACCGAGCCACCTGGGCATCCTCCTGCAGTTTCTGGTGAGTGAAACTGCGAGTTCATTTTATGTAAACTGAACTCTGAAGTGAAGAGAGTGAAACAGAAGTAGATAAAGGTGACAAAACAATGTCACGCCATGGTCTATTCAGTGGCTGTCCTGGAGCTTCTGATCCTCAGCTAATCATCAAATGTGGTCCTGCCCACTTCTCATGGTGTTTAAATTCCATTTTTTCTGATCATTTGAAGAACTTCTCATCCACGTTGGCTCAGCAATGACAGGCTTCATTCCAAAATATAGTACGTCCATAGAAAACATATCAAGCAGTGTCTAAAAGTCCTAATTAATTTTGGAATAACAAATAAACTACTTAAGATGACTGAATAGCTTATTTTAAATCAGGGATTTATTTGTTTTCTCATGGACAGAATTTTTAGGTTTTCGCCTAAATTGAAGCCTACACATAATAACAGGTTGTTCAAACCTCAGTGTCCTCACTAGTTTAAATGTGCTCACAGCCCTGATACTGAAATGCTGGGTATCATTTGTATATAAATGTTATAAATCTAGTTTTTAAACTGTTATTACAGCATAGTCTAACAAATGTAACCATATAACAGCAGATGTCTGGAGAGATTATCTTCAAAAAAAAAATCCTGATAAGAACATGCAAAACTAGAGTTCACACTCTGGTGTTATCCTGAAATTTTAAAAACCATTATTTCCATACATGTAGGCAGGATGGCAGACTAATCTTTCACTGTCCTCTATGTGTAACTCTTCCCATATTTCTCAGGTGCACCAAGGAATCATTCAGGACTGCGGCAACAAGACCAGAATCAGCCTGTTCATACAGATAGCTATGTGTCTGTCCAACATCACCTGCTGTCTGGACGCTCTGTGCTACTACTTCATCGCCCATGAGGTGAGGAGCACCAAACACACCTTCAGGATGACAGTAAGAAGAGCCACCTTCAGCACTTCAGAGCTCTGAACATGAGATAAAGACAATTCAAGTTAAAATATAATCAGTTGCCAGAGGACCACTAGTAGTGAATACAACATCTGGCTTCTTGAGTTTTTGCAGGGCAACGAAAGTTAAAAAGAGCCAACGATGTGTGTTCGCTATCTTAGAGGCGAGTGCGGGATGCCACACAACAGAAATGAGTGGTACAGAAGCAGGTCAGAGTGCAAACTCAACCAAGTACAGATGAGAGTAAGGCTAAAATGTTGTATTGCAAAAGATCTGATGAGCACTGATACGTCAGTTGGTCCACTGACAGGAAGTTGGTAGGCACCTCTGAAACCCAAAGCGTAGGCTGCAAGAAGAAAATCTGCCAATGAACCACAATGTGTCGTTTCTAGAATGGGAACAAGGTAGAAGGTTCAAAGTACTGTCAGGTAGTCTGGTCCTATACACTGACAGCAATGAGACACTGAAGTGGGTATGATTCATTTTAAAGAAGTACAACGTTGTCTATTCTCAAGTAGCAAAGTCAAAGGTTCGGTATGTGATATGCACTTTTACAGTTTTACTGATGTCCGCATCAGAAGACGTCACCCACCTAAGGTCAGGAGCAATTTGGGTCAATAGATATTAAATTATGAAACTTCTATGAAACAACAAATTATGATCATAATCATAGGTTTTAATTATATAGTAACTCTCATACAAAATGTAGATTTACAAATAAAGTCAACCTGAGATTATACCTTTAACAAGTTTCTTCTAATGTGAATGAGGAGGCAAACAAGCGGACAGGCTGCTAAAGGTTTTATTAACAGAAACTGATTATTATTTTTAATTTTTTCTTGCTTATCACTTCTTATCTTCTTGAGGCTCATCACAATGAACCTATAAGATGTTCTTTTGGTCATGAAATGTAAATATGTTTATAGGTCATTTGTATTTGCCTTTTTCTTTTAATGACATAATGTAGCTTCATGTGCAATAATGTTGTCCTGAGCTGTAAACTGTAGATAGGACAGTTTTAATGTCAGTATGTTCACAGTGGGACGACACTTATGTGAACAAAGTCAAAGCTAAACCCAAATGGAAAGCTGTACGTAAAATACATTAAGCCATCCTCGGACTTACTCTGCTCATGTTCACTAAATGTGTTAGGTGTTCTTGACTCTACAAAGTGTTAAGTTACGAGATTTAATGAACATTATTGCTACTTTTATCATATTAAATAATCTGTGAAAAGTTCTTTTCTAAGACCAGAACCAAGACATTAAACTGTCACGTTCTGGTTTAGTGTTTGTTTCAATACTCTCACTTTGAACTTTTGTGTTTTTTGTTCACACCAAGTTTTATTTTGTTTCTGTTACTTCATTTTCTGTTTCTTTTAATATAATCCATTTCATTTAAATGGATTTTGTTTATGTGAAACCAGGGGGTTTCTCAAGCTGACACAGCTCATAGTTCTAGTCGGTTTTTGTTCTTCTGGTCTGTAAAATAAAGTATTGTAAACCTAGATCAAGAATATGATGTAAAATGAATATTAATCATAGCAAAGCCCTTGACAGGGGGATAATGTACATTTTTAGACACTTTATTTTTACAGCTATGTCTATTTTGAAAGATTTTTGATGTGTTACATTTGCAGCAATGAAGCTGCAGTTTTCATTTGTTTAGAAACAAACGCCCACTCATCTCATGCTACACATTAACGTATTTGTAGCATGTCCCAGAGAAACTGTTCATTCCAGTTACCCATATGTGTGTGCAGGCTGTGAGAAAGTTCAAAGGAAAAATGTTTTGTCTTTCTTAAGACTATGCTGGAGCTATTGAAATTATTCTATCCAAAAATTTTCACATTTCTAGTGTGTACGCTTTACCAAGTCCGTTATTAACATTCAAAAGACAAAGAAAAGTTTTATCATTTATTTTTAAAGCAGCAAGATTTTACAAGAAAAATCAACTGTACAGCAAAACAAGGTATTCAAGGTGAAATATGAGCACATATCACAGGTCTCTCTCAACAGAGACTAATTTGCTCCAGGCTGAACATTAAAAACAATCCCCAAATCTTTTTGAGTTGGGACGAAAATCAACATTGTAGAGATAATGCCAATATGAAGGACTGGGAACTGGCAAGAGCTGAAGACAACAGACAAACCCAGACAAAGAGGAGGAAGAACAAGACAAAAGGAGTTTTAGCCTTTGATATCATCTACAGTAAGTGATCTAGACTAAAAATATTCCATAAATCCTTAATACTAAGCATAGCATCGCTGACTGCAGACTTTGGTTCCTTCTGTCCCTCTAAAGCTACTAATTACAGTCAAAAGCCATTTATATCCAAGGAAAAGGAAAGTGTGATACCAAAGGAAATAAAGAGACGCACCATAAAGAAATGTTCAGTCACAAAACAAGTTGATTTCAGATAAAAATTGATGCATGTAACAATATGAAATCCAGAGGAAAATCAATTTACAGTAGATATTGCTTAGGAACAAAGTTATTTACACCATTCATTAATGATATAAACTAGCAAAGAAACGTTTAAACTACATGAGGTATGTTTTGCCATTTTCTAACATTCAAACAAAATAAAACAACAGCCAAGAAACAAATATTATGAGTGCACAGTGCAAGCAGCTTCCAAGCCACTTTAACATCCCCCACAGTGCACTGGGTTACTAATTCACAATAAGGACAAGTCTAAAAATAAAACAATCAAGTTCTTTGATGATGACACACATTAATATTAACTTGTTCTGCACAACATGACAAGCTACAGATATATCTAAACACATTTATAACATCCATTTAAATAAAAAACATGAATACAAGAGCATTTCTAACTTGAGACAAAAAAAAAAACTAACATTAAAACAAACTGTTGGACAAATACTTGCTCTTAAAGTGCAGTTAAAAGCCTAAAGAATTCAAGAGGTAAGGTTTGAAATTTGCTTCAGTGTTGGATGGCTGTGATTTCCGTCTCAGATTTAGACCATGCTGCAGAAAACGGTCTCAACCACAAAAGTGTTTTCAAAGTGACGAATGCTGTGGCAATTCTTTGTCTCACGCCTCTCAATACCTGAAAGAGAAAACAAGAAACTTTTTAAAAAATTCTGTTCTCTACTGAAAGTGGAGGCTTGTCATGTGCACATAACTTCCACCACTACCAAACACATGTCATCCATTTTGAATCAGCAGTGGTGATCCCCTCAAATCATATCCATATATGCGCTCAGGGGAAGTTTGTTGCATCACTTCTCCAGCTCTCATGCCAGTCAAAGGCAGCAATGAAAGATATCACTGATGCGCATCACTGCCACCTCCACAATTACTGCTATGTGAGTCACTACAAGTGATTCACATAGCAGGAAGTTCCCAGGCTGCACCCACACACACACACACTGTCATGATAACCACGCTGCTAGGCTGCCAAAGGAGGATTTTACACAACAGACACACCGTCTGAAATGGCCACTAGGAAGCCCGTATTTGGTTTTGGGTGTATTTGATTTCTGCATGGTCACTCACTCTCAAGTTTGCTCCTACACACTAAAACTAAACAGCAGATTCTCTGTGAGTCACTGGCGCATATTTTCCACCAGCACACGCCAACATTTCACACGAGTTGGTGTTAAAGAGGGCGATTAAAACAGCAGTGACCCACCACTCACTATTTAGCATATCATATCGCCTGAGTAGACTGGAAAAGGAAATGAATGTGTACTTACGTCGGCGCTGGTTGTGGCGTCTGAGGCGATAGGTTTCTTTGCCATAGCAGAGCCTATGGATGAATGGGCCCAGCTGCCTCATGTTCCTCACCCTCCCCGTCACCGCCATCTCCTCCTGGATGATGTAAGTCTGAGGAAGGTACGTCCCTCTCTGTGACAAAGAGACACACATGAATCACTCTGTCAATCTGTCTGTGGGAAGAACACTGCAGACAGGATGACAAGAACACAGTCCTTCAGCAAATGCGGAGAGTGCCTCACCTTGACATTAACGAGCAGTTCCCACAGGCTCCGTGGAGGCATCACCACAGTCGTGTTCAGCTCAGTGATGTAGCATTTGTCCAAAGCAATGTCATGGTAAGCTGTAAGGCCCTAGAGAAAATATTTTAAAAATATTAAAACCTCAGCCATAATAAAACACTTTGATGAGAAAATATAATGAGAGAAAACCAAACCAGTGACACCTACCCTCTCAAAGTCATGGATAATATCAGCAGGGTCGCTGCTACCAAAGTGTGGCACAGGTACGCTGATCTGTTCATAGTTGTCGTCAAAATAGATGCCAACATTCTCCTCGAGTTCTTGCCGCCCCCTCAGAGGAGCAAACACAGAGTCCTCGTAGATAACCCGGCAGTGGAACAAGCTGTCTTCTGGGATCTGCTAATGAGATGCAACCGAGCTGAGTGTGACAGGTACTTGGGGCAATATTAACAGCTTTTTACACTGTGTAGGTAGAATGATCTGACCTGTGGTATAAAGTAGTGACGATAGATGCAGACAGAGGCCAGCACCAGTCCTGATATGAAAACCACCAGGCCAAAAGCGAGGCAGCACAGCTTCTTCGGCTGGACAGAATGACCCAGCCGCTCCTGTGATGAGAACAGCACTTTGGTTAAGGGACAGGTCGAGATCAACAAGGAAACTTAAGACAATTTGGAAAATATTGAACAGCACTTTGGTTAAGGGACAGGTCGGGATCAACAAGGAAATTTAAGACAATTTGGAAAATTAACATTAAAGTAACACAGCTTGGCAGTAAACCTGAAATTAATCATCCACTGTTTTAACAGGGTATCAGTGGACATAACGAAATTTCACACTTCCATGCTTTCATGTACAAAGTCCGAAACATAACGGGGTTAATTCTGACACAAAGCGGTTGCCAAGTCGTTACTCCAGGGAGGATATCTTGTAGACGTAGGATGGACTGGAAAGAGGTATGCCAGATGCCCACCCACAGTCTCTCATTCAGTCTTCTACTTCTCCTTACTACCGTTGCTATGGAGAGTGAAAGTCGGGAGAACAGACTGTGCCAGGCTCTGACGGAGTTGCTGGCACGTGGCCGTCTGGGTCTATTCTTAGAGGCCTACTTATGCTCTACATTTGCAGTTTGTTTCCTAGCACCTCCAGCAGGAGTCAAAACGAGAGCAACTACGTAGAGCAGGAGTCCCTCAGCAGAGGACATATTAATAGATCTACACACACTGCTTGCGTCAGAGCTAATCAGAAGTCACACAGCATTTGAGCTCATGCATTTGACTTCTGTTGACGTAACAGGCGATGGAATATTTGCAGAAGTGATAGATGCATCATCAAGTGGTATTAATTGTGTACTGTGTGCTTGGGGGAAAAGGATGAGGCTCAGACTGGCACACATCCAATTATTTTACCTCCTGGGAGGTGTTCCAAAAAAGGATGCTAAGAAAAGCTGGACACTTAGTGACATGCCTGACCTGCTAAACATCCCAAACTAAACATGCCAAAATCCACCTCAGAAACGATCAGGATAACTGAACACGTTTAATCAATAATAATGTTGTTATGAGCACAACAAATGTCTGTCTATCCTGGATTTCAACTTTTCACTCATAGGCCCATGCACCCTCTGGTGCTACCTGCAGGATTCATGTGGTATAACACCTCATGACGTCACCGCACCTGACAGTTATATGTGCTCATCTAGACATGGGGGGGGGCTGAAGCTATGTGCACATATACATTTGTTTAAAATCAATCAATCCTTTATGAAGCACTTATAGGAATGATGAGATAGTCTGATAAGGACACACACACACACTGGAATGTCATGTGCAGCAGCTGCTGGTGGTGGTGGCCACACAACAGAACGTAATGACAACATCCCTAGGCTGGGACAGTCTGCACTGTTGGGTCTACTCCCTTGTAGTTATAACAGTATTACACAATAAGCTTTTCTTCTGTCAGAAATATTCTTCACCAGCAAAAAGTACTGATAAACAGCAGTAGTATGATTCACCCATTTAGTTATAGTCATTTAAAAATGCATAGATGCAATACATTAAGCATATATTGGTTGCAAAACTACTTAAATTTAAACCACAATAAGTGACATTTTTATGGATGAACAGCTAAATTAAACAGCTAAGAATATGCAGGTTAAAGTTAACCCGTCTAGCTACATTAGCCTATGCATCGTCTACTAATGCTCCACAGACTTAAGATAAATGCCACAACATGCAACAAAGAAGGACAGCGTGCAAACTCACTTGAGCCTGGGGTATAGTGATCTTGTCTTCATCGATCTCTTTTTCGGGCTTCTGGGCCGAAACTGGCTGGAAAGTGATCTTCACCATGTTTGTTTGCTCAGTGTATATTTGCTCTGTCTCGTTTCTGGTTCAGTGCGCTGGTTTCGTTCACCGGGCCGGGAAGATTATATAGCGGCGGACCAGTCTCGCCCCCGGGGTTCAGTGACCTCAGATGAGCGTCTTCTCTGACGAACAAGCACCGTGTGGGTCTGAAGGAAAAGCCGCCTCGCCGCCGTCAAAATAAGAGTGCATATCCGGCTAAAATGTTTACACTTAAGACGGAATACACCTTTTGTGGGCTCTCTGGTTTATACATAACTATATTCGAATGTCTGAAGCTGATAAGGTTCGGAAATTATGACTGTACCTCCAGTTTGTTGCAATAAGAATATGCTGTGCTCTTATTGTGAAAGCAACTACCAGATATGGTAGTGCTTTCCGTATTTTATTTAAAGCTGCATCTCTTTTTCTCAACCATGTTCCCAACACTATCATCCGGAAATGTAGGGATGTTCCAAACTCTCAGCCAGCTGCTAGACTGTACTAAAACTAGCACAAGGTCACTACTACTGCTGCTGCTAATAATAATAATTAAAATGAATAATCAATAATAACGTCCACTTATGGTCTCATCATGGCTTGTAATGCATACAGTTCATGTTGTACTGTGAATTGTGTATGCCTAGCCCTTGGCTTTTAAATTTAAAATAATATATTGTAATGCAATGTAATTTATGCATTGGTATAGTATAAAACTCTATAGTACATGTAAATTGACCTCAAAACAAATATGACATTTCTAAAAACAGGTCACCATCTTTAGTTGCTAAGTGGCCTTTTTGGCTAAAGATACTTTAAAAATGTATGTTATGGTTAAATGATCATTTGGCCACATTAATGTCCTAACAGTCAGATTATTAATAGTAGGCTACTTATAACAGTGGGCTCATTGCAAACCAAACTACATGTACATGCAAATTACACAAAACATTTGCACACACAGCTCTTATCACGGTATGATTAGACAGGACATGGTGAACACAGTAAATGCTTTACTACTGACATAAGCCACACAGTGTGCTGAATTTGGATAAATTTGAGTAACCGATACAAGTCTGAAAAGCTCTACTTCCTGTACAAATTATACTAGAACAGACATAATCTAAATCCAAGGATGTTTGCCACTACAACAGACTCAGCACCGTTTCGAGCTGTTTGATCATTCCTAGAGGCTGCAGGCTCTTTACAGTCTTGATGCACTTCACAAATGGCTTGTATTGTCCATTTCACATTAATTATTTACTATTTCCCCCTAAAGGAGTGGAGCAATAGCCTCATCCTCATAGGTTAGGTGGACTGTTGTCTCACAATCAAGCATGAAATAGGCCTAGCTGACTGATGATGCAAGGTGAGAATTGGGAGATCTCTGGAGTTGAGCACCCTTGAAAAAGCAACGTTTACGATACTTAACATTAACGAGCAAGGGCTTAAGTGTTATTTACCTATTTTTGCAAGATGAGTGCTAAAATGATCTACACTTGTACTTATAACATTTGTGGTCATCAAAGATAGACCATATTATGTTTCAAATGTAGCTACAGAAGTGGTTGGCATTATTTAGGGATTCGTTTGGTTCATGGTTTCCATCTGTTTGTCTACATCATGATGTGCATGGTTCGTGAATTAGACAGAAATTGGGACAAAAGCAAGCACTGGTCCCGCGATTGGCGGGTACGAGCGTTGCGCGCCCTAGATGTGTCTTGCTTATTCCCCCAGCTAGTTCACCTATTCACATGTAAATGAGCCGTCATATATACCTAGTACATGCCCCCTCGGAGCAGCATTGACGACCCCAGTTTTCCTCCAAGCTTTGCTGGCCGCTGGGATCACCAGGCCATCTGTCCCATTGACGAGCTGTAACGGCTCTTCGGATTACAGTCTAGTCCAGTGGGCTTCTGGCAGCGCCTGGGTTAAACTTCAACATGGCCCCCATCCGAAACAACACAAGCGAAACGGACAGAGGTGATAATAGCAGTGGCATCACTTCTGACAGAAAGGTAAGGGACTGCGTGCGCACTTTGTGTCGGTATTTGTTTCAACTTGGCTGAAAACCGACTAACTTCAGTGCCCTTGCCATTTTGGCAGATGAGGAAACCTCTGGTCGAGAAGAAGAGAAGGGCTCGCATCAATCAAAGTTTACAAGAACTCAGGGCTCTCGTTGCTGACGCAGATGTAAGACGAATTCCATATAGCTTTATGCCCCGCTTTATGTTGTGTTGTTTCTAAAATGACCTAACTTGCTATGTACTTATTTATCGAGCTTCTGTTGCCTTGTATAGTGTTGCTGCTCACTTTTTCCTCAACCGCTGCAGTTCACCTTACAAACGAAGATGGAGAATGCAGAAGTTCTGGAGATGACGGTGAAACGAGTCCAAAGAATCCTGCAAAACCGCGCAGAAGGTAAACATCACATACTTAGGTTTACTTGGGAACAAGCAAAAGTTCAGTACATGTTTTACTGTTCAACAACAAATATTAGCCTATCTATGAAAAGTAGCATACCAGTTAATTTACTTACGGAGCTAAACATTCGTAATTGACTGAGCGTTTATAGTTGAGTTTCACCAGCTCCTGAGTTAACGGCTGTTTTTAATTGTGTCTCTATAAGTAGAAGCAGTGAACCGGGAAGCCTGTGAGCGATTTGCCGCCGGCTACATTCAGTGCATGCATGACGTGCACACCTTCGTGTCTAGCTGCCCGGGAATAGACCCAACGTTGGCAGCAGAGCTGCTAAACCACCTCCTGGAGAGCATGCCCCTGAACGATGAGGATCGCTTCCGGGTGATGCTGCTGGACCACCCCGGCAGTAACAGCATATGTTCACTGTCTGAGAGCATGTACACGGACCTGGAGTCTCGGGCCCCTTCCTCCACCTCTATCGATGACCTGTGTTCAGACCTGGATGACACAGACTCAGAGCAAAGCCATGTTTCTTCCTCAGAGGAGGCTGATGGCCAGGATGTGCACAGCTTGCCTTCTGTGACTTACTCCAAGGCAATGTGGAGGCCCTGGTAGATGATCTAAAAAGGAAAAGCATGTTTTATACTACACTAGGTGAATTAAAGCTTTGTGTTAGGATGTTGTGTGGTCTAGGCCTTAGTACATGACAAAACCACTGCTGGCATGACAACTTTGAATCCTGTTGAAAGGCATTTGTGAAGCTCTTTGTAAAATTAATTGGAACTACAATTAACTAAAATATATTTAATAAATAGGATGTGATTGAGTTTTGCTGAGGTCGGTGACCTATAGTCTTCATTTGGAAGGGGTTAAATGCATATGTAAATATTTACTTATTGAATATTTTGACTGGCTGTATAGAAGATAGCTATCCCAATAGAAACACAATGTTAGTGGAGTGTAAATTATTACTTATTTAGGATGTTCTTTAACTTTGTATTTATAAGCTTCATGTTACTGTTAGTAGGCTACCTCATCTGATGTGCCCTAGTTTGAACATTTCAATAAATATTGTTTTAAATTCTATTTGTCCAGCAGCTTCACCGAAAGAGACACATTTACATAAACAAGAATCCCACTAACCACCCACCCAAGGCTGTTTTCATGATATTAGTTCTTACTCTGCAATTGTGGGCCATTTGTGTGCACACACTCTCTCTCTAAGATCCCTTAGCACATCGTAGGCATTTCTGAGGTGTGAAATGAGTAATCCACTCACTCCTTATATAGGCCTAGTTGAGGATTTGACAAATGAGTTTCATAACTTCAGCTTCCCAGTGTTAAAATAACATGGACACAAATAACTTGCATGAGGAAGTTATTTGTGCTCTTAACTAATAAAGCCCCCACTGTTGAGCATTATTGTATTAATTGATCAGTTTCAGCAGTGTATCAGCTTTTCATTGTATTCTAGTGTATTGTACCATGAATGGGGCTTTCATGCAGGACAGTAGCTGCAGTTGTTTGCCAAATACTATAGTGTTTGATGAATAAAAGCTGTACATTTACTAATAATCTACTGGTGAAATCTGTACATACATTGCAGCAGGAGAATGGGGTCAAGAGTCCCATGCTAATACACAGAGTTGCTTTGAAGGTCTGCATCCTCAGACATGGCTGCTGTAGTCCCAGTGAGAGCGCCATCAGTTCTTACAACTACAAATGAATAAGAAAAGACAGGAATCTTGAGCAATCCATCTCTGGTGTTCCTGTGATGTCCACTCAAGGTGTCATTTCTGACGCTTACACCTTAAAACACCCCTGCTGAGGGGGATCTTTAGTGAAATGACAAGAAAAAGATTAATACAGTGAGCACGGGGTTGTTAGAGTGTTTCTCCTGTTTGACATCAGTGCCAGTAAGTAACTTAGTAGTCAACTACTGTAGTTAAGTATGAGTGTAGGGTACCTAAACTTTAATTGTGCATATTATGCTTCCACCCTTAGAGGGGGAGACATGGTCCTTACCAGTTACTTTGAAGATTAAGACATAAAATATGTTGCATTAAAGATAAAACTAGCAGTATACCAGATGCAACATTCAAATGCTACTGGGACTTGTAGCCTACTTTACTAGGAAATATGATACTCTTAACTCCACTACATTTATCTGACAACTTTAATAATAATTACTTTGACTTTTTAGGTATAAAATATTGCTTATGCTTACATATTAATGTATCAATATTAACAATCCAGTCATATAAGATATGCTAATATACTATACTAATATTGATAAGGGACATTCTGCATAATGTATGGCCTATTTTTTACACTATTTTATTTAAGTAAAAGATCTGAATACCTCTACTACTACTACTACTACTGCAAGTTTCATTCTAGCTGACAAAATGATAGCCTACAGTATGTATTATCCTTTTATCCAAGGGTTATTTAAGAAAAACTTATGTTATCCCAGGATGATGACCTTGATACAGTCTGTCCGGTGGTGACCATCTCTAGGGGTGCAAATGAACGCTGCAGGAGGGCGGTGTGTTCATTTTCGCACCTCGTCCTCAACTTGGAGCAAGTATGAAGGTGTGAACAGCTGAGGGGAGGGGGTCGCTTTGATCAGGCAACTTAGCTATTGTTTGGCAGATAGGCATTTGCATCGGGAAGAGGTTTCTTTTAACATTATGCCCATTTCAATTATTTAAGAGGTTTTTTTTTAACATTAGGCCCACTTCAATGATTTAAGAAAGTCGGCCTGTTGTAGTGGTTTCTTTACAGGTCGAATGCAAACTAAAAAGGTGCAAACTAAAGTACATTTCATTCCAGCTTTTCTCTCCCGAGGCTCGATTGGCTTCTGTAATTAAAACAATCCAACTAGTATTACCCCACTAAGCACCTACTTTACGGAGCGCTTTGATCCATCCTTTCCAAAGGCGCATTTTCATGCAGCTCATGCCCAAATCAGTTGCTCCCTCCTTATCATATGTCAAACATGAATGTGCTCCAAAACGGCAACAGGATCGTTCACACTCATTGCTCATCGGTCAATTAACAGCCGCATTTTAAATGAGTCTAGTACTTGTTCGGTTTAAGCTAATATGTGCAGCCTGAGGTTGTGGAAACAAGCCTGTATGTGAGGAAGAAAGTTTAATGCAGACATTTTACAGCACACTTCGCCTCACTGTAAATTAGGCAATACTTCATTCTGAGAAAATACAAACAAATATAATAACCTCCTTTAAAAATAAGCCAAAAAAGACGCACCACTATCTGTTCAAATAACAAAGGTATTTCTGAAAGCTAAAAACGTTCAAGTGACTGAGAAAGCGCACGATTTCTTCCCAAATGAAGCTTCAAAGGAAAGCTCTCCACACAGTCACTTGACATCTGTCTGAGCTGCTTTACACCCGTGCAATAACCCTAAAATGTGACTTCTGAAGTGAACGGTAATGAGCTGCAGTCGCTTCCACAGGATGCTCTTCTCCATATTTATGACCGGGGAGATCAGACCGTTTCAAGTGTTACGTGGCACACTTCTCCACCGAGGAATGCATCTGTATATTTATCACCCACCATTAACGACGTGCTACTCTGGTTCTTCCCAGTGCCTCCTGGGAGCTGTCTTAATGTTGGTTACACATCTCATATGATAAAACAAGTATTTACAGTCAATATGAATCATCTTGATCCTGTTTGTTTTTAAGCAGGACTTTATGTCGTAACTTAAACACATAAATCTGTACAAAAACAATTATTTCATGTAAAAATATATAGTATGCTCAGAGCCAAAGACTGATTCAAACATTCACACAAGAACTGAAATGTGCTAAAACTGTTTCTTTACATAAGAGGCATCTGAAACAAAAAGACTAAAACCTACTGGAACAAATGTATTTAGTAAGAAACTGTCATGAAAACCTAAAGCAGCATTAGGTAACATGCGATACAGTTGGCTCCAAATATCAGAGAGGGGGGAAAAGTTTAAATATTAAATTACATAAATTCTCAGAAATAATATAACATGACATGGTGAGTACATGTCAGTGGTTTTCACCACCTCCACCGCTTGCGGGGATCAGTAGTGCACAATTTAATTTTTGCTATATAAAATATGACAAATATAATACATTATATTTAAACTGCCCAAAAGTACTGTATATAATACAAGAAATAAATAGGTTGACAGTGACCTGCTACAACATGCATCATCAAAAATAATTCAACAATAATCCAGTATAATGAGCCTTTCAGCATACTTTTAGACTGATGATACTTGCGTATTTTTGCCTACACAAACATACTGAATACAGGACTTTCACTTGTAATAGATTACTGTATTTTTGCATTGTGATTTTACCATTCTTATTTGAGTTAAAGTACTGCTTATTGCTGTATATAGGAGCAAATTCATCTTTTTCACTTTAAATTTCCTCCCAGGGACTATATGCAACACCACAACTGAATCTGAGCAAACACAGTAGATGTACAGGAGTCTAACTGATGTTTCTTCCAGTGCAGCCCACAAACTGCACTTGTTACATCTCTTTGATGGGTACACGTAGCAGGAGTAACTGAAACCAAGTTTAAAAACTCCACCTGCTCTCACCACATGCTGACGTAACGCACTGTTGTTGCAGCTAAGGAAATTACATAACAAAATACTGAAAACAATCACGGACACTAACAGTTAGTACACCACTGAGCCACATCCGGGGATGACCTCTGCCTGGCTCATACTGTCTGGTGTATGAGCCAATATTGTATATCCTTTATTGGGCTCTGCTTCTCCTAGTCAGTGCAAAAAAAAAAAAAAAAAAAAAATGCATAATTTAAGTGCTACACAGAAACAAATGCATTTATATGCATTAGGTAATTACTGATCCCAGCAATCTGGGCAAGCACCAAGTAAATCCTGCTTATTGCAGCTTATATTAAAATAAAATAACAAGAAGATTCAGCTCCAGAACATATTTTCACATTTTACAAAAGCATCCACTGTGTTTTTCATCTAAACAGAAACAATTCATAAAACAGTAAGACACATGCAGTAATGTACGGCATTTTACGTGAAGAGGGGCCCTATTCAAAAGTAGCCATGCACATTCGTGCAGAACAAGAAACTGATGGGTGTCTGAAAATCTTGAGCAGTTTATTGTCTGGCTGATTGTGCCTGAGAGCCAGAGCCAGGAGAGGGGTAGGAGATGGCGACAGTGCCTGAAAGATCTCCTCCGGGCCTCCAGCTGACCTCCCCCTCTGTATCACTGATGTCCAGGTGTGGCAGATCCCCTGCCACTGCCTCTGAGGAACTGTCACAGCAGGAGCACACCTAGAAAACACAGAGAGGCTGAAATAAGTCGAGACAGGGTGGGTGCTGGAAAACACGCAGACTCCACACAGAAAGGCCCCAGTCATTTTACAGGTTCAAAGTCAGAAACTTCTTGCTTTGAGACAACAGTGCTAACCACTATATATAAACCACACCACATATATAAAACCATTGTTCCTAAAAATCTAAATTTCTAGCCACACACCTAAAAAAGTTTCAGTCTTAGCATTTTTTTCAGTTTCACATATTTGCCAAATCAACACCCAGACAAAGATACAGATGTAGTTAATATTTCAACCAACATGACCAAATGCTGAAGATTTAGCACGTATATAAATTTAAATGCCAGTGAAGGGTGGTGAATTTAACTGAATGGAATTGGAATTGAATGGAACTGAAATGAAATATATGTTCTCATTCTACCTTGATGTCTATGGCCTTAGGTAGACCTCCTTTCTTAATCCAGGGGTGGACCTCGATCAGTTCCTTCTGTTCCTCAGAAAAGCATGGCTGGTTCTTCTGCAGCAGCCTCAGCTTCTCTCTGTCCTCTCTGAGCACTGTCTGGATGTCACTGCAGAGGCAAGCAAACACACAAACATAGTCACATTCAATATTCCACCTAACAGTCATATATGACCAACCATTAGTCAATAAAGCAGATTCTGATACTGATTATTACATTTGCAGATGAGTGGGGTGGATGACAAACACTAACACTGGAAGTAGTAAAAAATTATACTGTGCTGATAACCATCTCCAATCACCTGCTGACTCTGTTCTCAATGTCAGTCTCCTTTTATTTACTGTCTGCGTTAATGTAAGGGTGCCACCTAGTGGCCAACATATTGCTGTGTTTAGTGGTGCTGCTTGATAAGGACAAAACTCACCAAGTGCCAACAAAGTAACAGCACTACCATCAAATGTCTGCAGCTCAAGGACAGGTTTCCTGGTGACAACCCTTGAAATGTGCCATGGGGCACATCTTTTGGCAGAACTGGCCCCTGAGCACAGACATTTAAAAGGCCCCCTGCCTCTCATATACAAGATCAAAACACCCAGAACTGAATGATATGAAACTGAAAGTGTGTAGTTGTTTTGTCTGTTGTCATTTCACATCTCTTTCTAGTTGCACGGTTGAGTTTCCCCGACATGAAATGTTAACAGTCACTTATAACAGGCAGGGGTCTCCTGATACCTTGGGGCCCTGGGCCTATGCAGATACTGCAGAGAGCTGGTGAAAGGAACTGATGAGATGTGTCTGGAGTAAACTGCTTGAAGCTGAAAGGTGGAAACTGTTCAGTATCCCAGAAGGGGGAAATCACTTTCAGCACAGAATTATACAGTATGTATTCAATCACTGGTTCTCTTTAGTGAACTTAATAGGTTTGGCCATGGGCCTCCAACAGTAGGGTTTTTGTTGCTGAAAACACAGCTGCTGAAAAACTCATATCCTCCAAGCCATCCTTATAGCACCTTAGACACCAATGACTGTCCAAGTTCATTTGTCTTATAAAATTAAATTAGAGCCCTGGATATTAATAATCTGATGGATAATTTCCCCAGAAACGTACAAGGAAAAAAGCTGGAATCAGTTTTTTTTGTTTTTTTTTACGATCAGGCTCAGTTAACAGTGCTTTGTTGAAATGTACAGAAAGGTATTCTGGATAGGGAGTTTCAGTGTGCTATTTAGTTTGTCATTAAACATTAGTGTCTAATTCCTCACTGGCTACAACCCTATCCTCCTACTCACCGTGAGGGCAGCTGATAGGTCATCATGACCTTGTGATCTGTGTTGGCCATGAGCAGCCACAGTGGGTCCTGCAGTAAGTGTTCGCTCTGCTCCATTTCCTCAGTGTTGCTCAAGTGACCTTTGACCTTCTGGCTAGTCTGGGATGAGTCCACACTGCCAAAGTACTTACTGCTGTTGTTGCTTCCTGAGAATTAAAAACAAAGAAATTACAGATAACATTAAAAGAAAAACTAATCATATGCTTTTGTAATATATGTAATTTTTTACATTTAGAGATACTAAACCAAAACATTACTTAATTACAAATCCAGCTTCTAAGACATTTGATTTGCCTGATACAAAGGTGCTGATTCCATATCATGCATTGTTGAAAATTAACTCCAGACCTGTTCCACTGCCGAAGGTCCTGCTAGCTGAGGATGCACTGACTGATGTCCTGCTCTTAGATGTCCCACTGGCTGAAGTTCGACAACCGTTGGACCCCGAGCCCATGGACCCTGAGGTGGCTGAGCCAGTGCCTGAGCAAGAGTCCTCATGTAGAATAATGTCCAACATGTCGCTGGATGACGAATTGGCATCGCTGTTGTTCCCATCGCCATGTGAACTTGCCTGCACAAACAAAAAACATTCAAGTGATATATTAAACAGAAGCATAACTTCACAACACTGGCCATCAGACTGTAGCACTTTTCCCATCAGCTTCATATTTATAATATGCTGTAGATGGTATCATTAGCTCTTTTGCAGCTTGTCTCTGCATTCTTTTATTCAACTGCAAGTAGATTTATGCAGTGAGCACAAACTCCATCTCTCCTGACTCACAAAAGCATTGCGTTATGGTTGAGCTTTCTTAGATACAGGACAGTGATACTGATCTTTCTCCAGCTGATTTGTGGGAAAATCATTACATTCATAGAGAACAGGATGTACATTATATTATAATATATAAGCAGCTTACTTTTTACCTTCCTGGCCACATCTCAGTACAACACAATAAAGAGAATACAATAAGTTATCTTCACTGATTCTAAAATAAGTTTCTACTATTGGTTCAGGCCTTTGAGGGTTTGCTTGCAAAATCAAAGAGTTTATGCATGTGGGCATACACTGAATCAATCTCATGCTTGAAAATCAAGATTCACTCTATGCAACACAAAAAACAAGAATAGTGCAGGCTATAAATGTAAATCTTAAGTCATGAAAAGGAAAAAAGAACTGATAAAGGTAGAACAGACATATGGAGTCAGGGAGGAACGGAACTAGAGAGGTGTGGAGGTTTTCTTATGATTTGCCTACCTCTTTGCTGCAAGCCCTCAGCCTAGAGCACACTTTATCCCAAGACAAACGCTCACAGGCACAGGGCATGCCCTCGCAATACAAGGGTCCAGGTGGACCAAGGAGACTGAGAGATGGCTAAAGGGTGTAAGGGATAATAACATCATGTGTTAACACCCTGGCCATTTCCTCAGTTTAGACTGGCTTGACTTTACACATGGAATTAGCAACACAATAGCAAAAACCAGCAACACTTCCAATGCTGTGAATAATGTGGAGGAATCACTGTGATGATGGCATTAAATCTTACAAGGCTGAGACATGTGTGTCGTGAAACCCAATCTGCCCTAGTTCAGCAAGGCAGTGACAGTTTAAGTTTACAGGTGAAGAATATCAGTCATAGGCATTGGGAGACTGAGGGAGAAAAGGAAAGAGAGAGAAGGAAGCAAACAAAACATTTCCTTGCTTACCTGCTTTAGCTCCCTCTCCTTGGCCTGGCTGCCACTTGCTCCTTTCTCCCTTTCAGCCATATTAGTCCCTTGTGCTCCAGCTGAGAGCACTGTGTTGTCCTGCCTGTCCACAGATAGCTCCAGCTCCAGCAGGTTCAGGGGGGAACTGCAGCGTGACTGGAACAGGGGTGGGGATGCCTGCCCTCCACCTCCTCCAGACTGCGGTGTTGGGGAGCGAGACTGACCCACAATGGGGGCCTTTGGAGTCTCAGAGGATGGAGGGAAGTAGAATGACGGAGTCAGGGAGCCTGCTTGAGAAGCAGAGTGGTTCTGAGAGTTGAAAGGATTCTGAATGCTGGAGGAAGGTGGAGCTGTAAAGGTGCCCTGGCCTGGAAAAACAGTCTGACCAAAAGTCTGTGTTTGGGTGGGGAAGCCCCCAGTCTCTGTGTGGTACACTGGCTGTGGTGGTGGAGGCCCAGGGGCCACTGGTGAGTACATGTAGTTAGGCAGTACCAAAGCCACAATGGGGGTGACCACAGGGGTGGTGTAAGGAGTAGGGTGGATAGACGGAGGACAACCAGGGGCCTGAGCCCCCTGCCTGTTCCCAAAGGCAGATAGAGTAGTATCTGTGCGGGGAGCTATAGAAATGGCTCTGGGGTAAACCTGGAGGGGGTAGCCTGGCATCACAGTGGGGTAGGGCATGAGAAAAGTGGACTGTGAAGCATCAGAGGGAGACCAAGAGGTCGGGTTAAGGCTGTGGTTTAGAAGAGTAGTCCGCAGCTGTTGTTGTCTGTGATGGGAGACTGTGCTGTCCGAGGACTCGATCTGCTTTGCTCGCTTTGACTTTGTCTTCTTATTCCGTGTGCCTTGCCGTGTGGTGGGCTCTGCACCTGGGCTGCCCTGCTTGTAGCATCGAGCAGCAAGTACAGCTGGAGGGTCAGGAAGATAAAACAAAACATGGTGAGTGATTTGACTTTTGTTGAATTTGAGTTATCAGGACATTTCCACTTTATTAAAACTTGGGTCTTGTTTTTGTAGTTTTCCTATAATTTCTAATGATTATGATAACACTGTAAACTAAAAGCGAGCGTACCCAAAATGCCAGTAACAACTGTGTAGGAAAACTGGACAAACACTACTATGGCACGTGTGCAAGGTCAAACTTAGACCATTAGTCTGTAAACTGTGACTGATGTTTGAGTAATAACTTTATTGTTCACCTTAATTTTCCCTTCCAAATAAGTCAGGCCAAGGTCAGGGTTTGTTTAAAGACTAATCATCTGCCTGCTTGAGTTTCTCATCTGACTCCTTTTCACAGATGCTGCCCCATTCCCAAGTCTTACAAATGAACTTGGTGAGCACAAAGTTATTGATACAGCCACAAGTTGTAATAAATCAGGATTATCCTTCTTATATGATGTGTTAGTGTTATGTTCAGTGGTACCATCGCTGGTGATCTGTTTTCTCTGGTGTTCCAGGTACTGAGAGCAGTTAGCCTTCAGCACTGTGAGTTCACGGAGCTCTCTAAAGCGATTCAGAAAGGTCTGCTCCTCCTTTTGTGTGTGGGCTGCCAGGACCTGCTTGGTCAACCCCAGCTTCTTGTAGGGCTCCCTCTCCTGACTGGGAGGTGAAGTAGCACAAGGAGGAGCCCCGGTGTTCTGGCTGGACTCTGCTGTTTCTCCTCCACCTGCTACGTCCTCTGTGATCTCTGCACAGATGACAATGGGGAAGTAACTTTAACAAACTATAAAGTAACGAAAAGTGAAGTTTAATGCAGTACAACAGTTGACAACACTGTAAAGCAATACTGGCCAAGCACTGCAGTGGCTTGCATTGGAACATATGACAATAGAGCTCACTCACTGATTACAGTGATTACTGAAGTTCCGACTAAATATATTTCTGTTTTACATTTGCACTTCATCATTGTCAAAAAGCTCAGAAATCCAATGTCCTCCAGACAATAAAACAGTGAATTACTGTTAATATAGTCACTGAGCAAGCTGTCCTGAATGCAGCTAGTTTACATAAAACTGAATTTCTGCATTAATTTGGTGAGTGGATAAATCTTTCATTGCATACCAACAACAAGATAAATGCAACACCAGATAAATATACTTATGTCTCCAAATTGCTACTGATTTATCGTGTTTTTAGATGAGACAGAAAAAATTCTTATCACCACCATTCATGTTAGTCTGGACAGGACCCAGTAACCCTGCAAATGTTTGTTTGTGCGGAGTAGGACTATAATGTATGTACGAGTATAGTAGGAAGTTGACTTTTCTGCATTTCAGATACAAGCTGCCAAGCATCGACTGAAACATACACACATACACACAAAGACATACACATACAGGTATCAAGATGAATCTACAGTGCTGCGACAAACCATTTACCATTTCCTTATTTACTCTATTAGTGCACATTAGTCACACAAAGTGGTTTCATATCTTCGAAATGTCACATTAGACAAAGGGATCAAATATATTAAAACAAGCAGCTGATGCTGGAAAATCTGCAACTGTGTCTGAGCTTAAGCATTTCAGCAAATTCTCTGCACTGATATTAAACTTCTATTATTTAGCTGTTAATGCAGTTAACTGCATGCTAATTTGGTACAACCTGTTATCAAATGCTCAGTACCTTTTCAAATGGGTAACATGTTTTTTTGGATAACTGTTCTGTAAATACAGTAAATAAAATGATAAGCTAAACATTATCTTTTGTTCAAAGACCTGATACTTTTGTATTATAAAACATGCAGCAATAGGCTGAAATCAGGTTGGAGGAAAGTACTTTTTCACAGGACTGTACCTGACTCTGGTTGAGGTTTCTTGTCCCCAACATGCACTATGGTGCTACTATAGCTACACTGGCTGGTTATGGACACCACACTTTCTGGCTTGTTAGGTACAGGTAGGGGCAGCGAAGTGCCCACTACTGCTGTGGATGTGTCACTGGACTTTTTGTCTCGATCATCCAAAGTGGAGAGACCAGACTGATCCTTCAACAAGGCTGGTTCTGCCAAAGAGAACAGAGAACAAGACACGCTGACAAGGAACTGGTATTTCAGAGTCCGATTTTAAAGGACAGAGTGTGGTGGTCTTAAAAGGCTGTAGCTTTGTATAAGGAGGTGACATTAGGTGTCTGCTAGGCTACTGTGGTGTGACCTGAGCCAGTTAAACATACCTTCAGATACCTCCATGCTGTTGGATCCATTCTGTTTGTCCTCATCTGAGTTGGAGGATGTAGTGTTAGACAAAGACTGACACTTCCTCTTCATGGTGATAGGAACATTACAACTCTCCAAGTACCTACATGAATCATAACAATACACAGATGAGTTTCTGTTGTTTGCCCGTTAATTATAATCAGCAGAACAGGAAATGCCATAAAACTACTGTTGCACTTTTCTCTCTTTGATATTCCTGTATTTAAGATCAAACAATAACAGGATAATAAAAAAATAATTACATATTTATTGATAATTAAACACCTAATGAAATGTGTGTTTGAAATAGAATTAGACATTTTTGTAAATTTATTTCTGTTTTCTGTATGAAGTAAAATCTGTGGGAGACTTGATAGAGACCCTTCATTCTGGTTTGCCTGTACCATAACTGTGACTAAGAAACTAGGATTCAAGTGGGGCATTCTAGTGTGCGAGGCTTGAAACAAATGGCCTCTTATGTAGAAAAAGAACTGCAGTACAAGTCAGAACAAATTCAAATGCGGTCTATTATAATTTTTTTTACCATGGATATCATTCTATAAATTCATGCCCTTCTTTAGCTTTGTACCTGATGACACTGTCTAGACAGCTGATCTGCTGGTAGGAGTAGACAGTCTGATTATTGAAGGCCAGCTCCTCCTGGAAAGAGCCTCTGCTCTCCTCCATAGCTGACCCAGTATCCCTCCAGTTAAAATACGTGGCTGAGTCTTTGGGCCGCACCACCACTGGGCTTTTCTGTACAGACTCTACTGGAGAAAGGCCAGGAATTATGGGCTGAGTGCAGGATGAGGTCAGTTTCACAACAAATGAATTTGTCATAAAAAGTCACATCAGCTCTCTCACTGTCTCTGTTTTGGACACACTTTTTCTATTTACACACAGATAAGCAGGCAACTATGAGCCGGACTTACTGTCGTTAGTCTTCTTGTTTTCTGGTTTAGTCATCTGCTGTTCCTGGCTCTTCTGAAGGTGAATTCCCTTACAGATTTCCTGAAAGGTTCGCTGTGTAAAAAAGACTCAAAAGTCAGTATAATTTCTCCACTCTGATTCTGTTGTAATTCATTTAAAATATTGAATTCTATTTGAAACAGCCCAGTAACAAACAACCAACAGAACCAAAATTGACTTAGTTACAATGATTTTGAAGGAAAAGTGAAATGAACCTGCAGTTGATTCTAATAACAAGTACGCTGTTAGTTAATGTGAAAAGTTAAGACAACCTAGTGTGGACTGTTCTTGTATAATCTTGCCCCTGCGTGTTCTTGGGCTGGAACACACAGTAGTAACCTCTAAACATTTGGGTTTACTCACAGGTCTAGCTTTGCTGAGAACTTCCTCCTCCTCTCGTCGCATCTTGGCCCCGCTGCCGTTGTTCAGGTTCTCATTAGAGGAGGTCATGCCCATAAGGTGGTCAATGCTGTTCACACTACTGTAGCCAATGGACCCACTGCTATGAACTGGCTGCTTACAAAAAAGAGAGAATTTAAAAGTAGGGTTGGCGATTCTATTCAGAAGTATTTTTTGTTACATATCTTTAAATTCTCTTTTCATCCCGTTGGCAATGAATACATTAATTGCATTGACAACATAAAGAAACAAATCCATCATCTCTGGCAGTAGCAGGGCTGAAAAAAGCCTGACCAATAATTTTACTCGGCATAAGCAAAACTGGTCTACCTGCCTGTCAACCTACTTCCTACTTGAGCACACCCTGTCCCAGACAGCTGAGCGAACAAACACACATTTAGACTCTGTTGTGCTTTGTTTAGATTTTTTTTTTGAAGATTTTGCTCTAATCCCTCAGTTGTATATATTAGCACTCGCATCTTTTCTTTGATTCATTTCATTACTGCTAGCATGTATATTTTATCACGTCTTAAATAATCTACCTTCCTCTGTAATCCATGTCCTAAATGTCTTTCATTTCTTATCCTCTCTCACCTGGAGCAGAAGCCGATGGATCTGCTCTGTAATCTCCTGGATGTCAGACTCCATGGGCTTCATCTTACCCTCAGCAGAAACTGGGGCCACAAAAACATCTTCATTCACGGGGCCCCTGGTAGAGAACATCAAATATCGGTTGATAAAGGCATTCATATAGTGGCTAAGTGATGTTTAATCTTGCCAGGCACATAGCTACATGAATGACATACTCTGTCAAATTACTGTAAATATTACAAGACTATAATACTCACATGCGGACTTTGTGTCTCCCAATGACAAAGGAGACCTTCCGGCTCCATGGGTTGACAAAACTGGACCAGCTGGTGTCCAGAATGATGTATTCTCCATTTCGTGCACAGAAGCGGATGGACGAGTGGTCAAACGGGTGCCCTGCATACTGAAGAACTGCAGAAAAAAACCCCAAAACAGTCACATCATAAACACAGAAAGAGGCACAAGAAATTCTTTTACCATCTATTTAATTCTGTGGACTCACTCTTTCTGTGAATTGCCAGCATGATTGGTCGGTCACTGGGATGAAGGTGGTGGAGGATTGGAGTGCCAATGAGGTCCTGGGGGAGGTAGCCCAGGAGAGGAACTGCCCTGATAGACACAAATAACCTCTGTTAGTTAGAACTGTAATGTCAAATTGTATTGTCCTTGTCTAATAAGAATTTTTTTTTTAGCTCAGTAGCAAACTCATTCCTGACACGGCTTACCTTTCGTCAACATCTTGGAACACACAACTCGGCGTGTGTGTGGTGGTGAAGATGCGTTTGTCAGTTGGAATTCTGGGTGCTTTATAGAAGAGAAAACTTTTGATGAAGGAGTTTGATGTTTCCCCAAAAAGTGGGACAAGTTTAGAAGGTGATGAGCCATCATAAGGAGTAACAGCTCTTCCCTATTTGCTCAAAGTGTTTAAGTATGCAGCTGTATGAGGTATAGACTGTAAAGGCCCATCAGGCTTCAGATTGAGCAGTGTGACACCAAGATTAATTTGAACAGCATTATCAGTGTGATGACTGAGAACCTATATTCAACATGCAGTCATACAATAATGAACAATGTATTTTTCCTTATGCTTTGGTGTTATTTTTGTTTTCTCAAACCTGCAGCCAGGTGCTAACCTTCATAACCAGAATGAACCCTCTCAGCCAGGAGGAGGCAGCAGAACTGGTCTTCAGCATGCACTGTATCTTGGACCTTCATCAGGTAGGGGGTCATGCGGAATGGGTAGTACTGCAGGTCACCTTCACATTCTTTACCACCACTGTTAATCAGTTAGAAGAAGACCTAAATTAAAATAAATCAAATAAGGACGGTCTATTCCATTTACATATTTCCAAGGTTCATGGATTTTTTATTTCAAGGCTGTGAACACATGGTGGGCACTATGTACAGTGGCTAGCTTTCTGTCCATGTATATGTACACTTAATGACATTGACTGAACGGTGGTGTTTAAGATCTTAAATTTATGTGGTGAATTTGAGTCCTCAGGTCATTTCCTCAGCAGGTACCTAAAACACCGGACATCCTAAGAATATGCCTGAGCTGAAGCAGTTCTGTAGGAAGAATGGTCCAAAATTCCTCCTGAACATTGTGCAAGTCTAATCCACAACTACAGGAAGCGGTCGCTTAAGGTTATTGCTGCTAAAAATTGTTCAATCAGTTATTAAAACACTGTTGCCATCACTTTTTCCCCACTATCACTGT